TATTTCTGGTTTAACATTTAGTAGCTATTATTACAGAGCATGGCTTAAAAATAGAAGTACCCTTTATTGAGAGGAGCTCAGATTCATGAAGGCGGAAGAGAGACAGAAACAGTATCTGTCTGTATGAACAGCAGTGCATGACTATTTAATCTAGAAGAGAGCACTGAGTGTGGCTTATAGGTTGTCAACATACACCTTTTCTGGCCTGATACTGTGTGCTTGTCATGCTGGTAAACATGTATGTGCAGCTACCAGTGAAACTGATCTACTCTGAGATGTCTGTCTCACTTCACTCCAAAATTAATTGGATTTTGTTTCCTCAGGTAACAAGTTTCCAATTTTATATTAGTATGAATAGCTGCCAGTATATGTACATCTTAAAGAAGGAGAGTGCTACAAGAAGTCTTCCCTCTGAATGTGAAATGGTAGCTCTAAGTACAAATTTCTGTTAGTGTGCAATGGGTGGATGGAAGATGAGCTAAATCTGTAGTACTCCAAAGGTGTGCCTGGTTTTCATGGAGCTGAGGTGACCACAGCGGCTCCTGACCTGGATCTCTGTGTAGCCAACATGAATCCTTCAGTGTGAGGAAGGAGAGGCACTGCTTTCTTCAGGAGTACAGATTTGAACTAGGTCGATGGTTTGAAATTGCAGATTAGGTTCAAAGTAGCTAAATTTTAGCAGAAAGGAGAAATCAAATATGATGTGGATGTCTGTGGGATTCCAAACTGTTTAGTTAGAACAGCTCATCTTGCATGATAAGGTTTTCTTGAGCATAAACTTCAATATAAGGGAATGCAGGAAGATGAAACCTTGACAGGATATATGTTAGAGATCATGCATAACACATCTGCTGAGTGAGGAGGAGAGAGCTTTCCTTGTTGCATTTTGTATAAGCAGATTAAATATGGGTGGATTTTTTCCCCTTCATTTCTTCATTAATATGTCATGGGGGGGTTGCTAACGTGAAACTTTCATTATTTTGAATAAAGATGGAGCTTGTCTCCAAGATTACTGTTTTCAAGAGTAAAGCTTTGTTCAGCCAAAGAGGTAGCAAATCTGTGCTGAAGGTACTTTTAGTAAGTTCTGTCTTTGCAAAATGATTAAGAGGATAAGAAAATGTTCTCTTGAGGAAGTTAAAAAAGCCTCCTTGGAGGTGGTATCACAGAAATGAAGAAAGAAGCATTTTCAAGGAGTCGGTGGTGATGAAGTAGTTTTTATTATATTGAAATGTAGATCATGTCAATACAGGGGCCTGTCGGTTCTGGAAGGCATTGTAGTTTTCAAGAATATAAATGTATGTCACTTTTAGTGGAAGATCAGATTTTTGGGTTTTCTAAGTTAGGGAGTGAAAATACTAGTATTCTAAATACTGAAAAATAAAATTAACAGATATTGCAAAAGCGTACTCTCACCTAAGGCTGTTCCTTTCTCCTTGAGTATTGTTGAGCCTTGAGTGCAGCATACTCCTTTGCTGCAGAGTGCAGCTAAAATTATTAGCAAGACATTCAAGAGGAGTGTAATATATTTAGAAACAAACTACCTAGAGATATATAAAATGAACAAACACACACACACAAAACAAACACAAAAAACCCCTACTAAACCACAAAAAAAGCCCCATCCCTAAACCCCATAGATCCTGGCTTTTGTATATCTAGAATCCTACATAGAATTGGGTTCCCCCTGTGGTCAGCATTTTGCGCTGTGCCCTGGCATACAGTTGTGAGTGTGTGTGGGCTTGTGTTACGTGGTGAATTTTGGACTGTGAAGAGCTAGTTCCTGTAAAGATTGTATTAGCAAATGTAAAAAACCAAAACTGATCTGTGATGTCTTTCTAACTTAGATCACTGGCTCCTTCAGGCAGTGGATTTCATCTCTGTGTATTACTGTTCTCAGTGATTGCTCTCTTAAAATAACGAGTGTTCCCTTCTCTCTTGCTCCCATATTAGGGATTAAGTTTAATTCTATGTCAAATTCAATTTGGAAGATTTTTCCTAGTTCATTTGTCTTAGTCTTCTAGATTGGTATCTTTAGGAACAATTAGTTGGAGTTTTTGTATTTGTTTTCTTCTTCCAAGAGTCCAGTTTGCTTCAAAATTGCAACTTACTACAATGTTTTGTCTCTGAATCTTACCAACATTACCAACATTGGCTTTTTTTGGCAATGTTGATTTCAGATTCTTAAATTATCCTGTGTTCAAACTCTCAATGGACAAGTGAATAATTATTTTTTCCTGGTCATTGAAGATAAAGACAACTGAGTAGAAATGTATGATAACAACTGTCTGGCATAGCATGCACACAAAAGCAAAAGCTTTTGACGTTGTTAGCAAAGGAATCTAAGGAGACCCACCTACTGTGGACTGTCTTGAAAAGGAACACAGTTCTTAATATTTTATTAAATTTAAAAATCTTAACCCTTTCTGTTAAGATGAAATAAAGTAAAAATCTACCATCTTACTGGGGAGCAAAGGTAATAATGATATTTGCAGTTCTGAATATTTGAATCCATTGTTATGCTGTAAATTAAAAACTAGAGATAATTAGAATTAGAAAGCATTTACATAAATTCTGTTGTTCCAAACTTTCTACTTTCAGCTACCATAGAAGTAGTTGTGTGATTTGAGAATGTGGTGATTTTTGGTTTAAGAACAAAAGCACTAAATTTTGTTACAGACTTTGATGTATTGCTCAGCTGTAATATTTTGCTTGGTTCAAATCAGGCCACTCCAAAATAAAACTATTTTATATTAATTGGTTTCTCTTTATATGGATTCCTACTGCAAGTCTGCATATACTGAAGCAGTGTTTTGACCTTTCCTAGGAGTGGTACCCTCACATGGTCTGCTGTGTTTTTTTGGAACTTCTTAATATCCAGTGTAATAAGCCTTAATCATCTCAGCTTTGATAGAGAAAGCTCTGCTTGCTGTTAAGGTTTTCACCACAGTGTTGCTGGTGATGGCCCTGCTCACGGAGCAGCTGCCGGTCTGCCAAGCTTCAGATACCAGACCCACAGGGGCAGCAAGCTTTAAATTGTTTGGATAATATGGATACCCAAAGGTGTCTGCAACTTGAACTTTGTGGTCTACAATAGCTCACAGGCTCAGCTGGGCTGCTATCCTAACAGTAATTCTGAGTACACGTTCTCTAATCTTCAGTGACATGAACTTGAATGTAATAGGGGGAAGGAACACTGCCAGCTTCATTATAACTTTAGATTATTGATCTAACTTTACTTATATGATGGGAAATTGCCTATGATCTAAATGATGGGAAAAAATATAGGAAATAATGAAAAATTCCCGTGTATGTTCTCCATGGATAACAGGGAACTGTGTACAATGTGCTATATAGGCAGAATATACAAAGCTCACACTTAAGTGAAATTGATTGAATCACTGCACACAGTACCAGTATGTGGCTTTAAGAATTGCATTCAGTTCTGGGCCTCTCATTGTAAGAAGGACATTGAGGTGCTGGAGCGTATCTAGAGAGAGCTACCAAGCTGGTGAAGGGTCTAGAGAACAAGTCATATGAAGAGTGTCTGAGGGAACTGGGGTTGTTTAGTCTGCAGAAGAGAAGGCTGAGGGGAGACCTCATTGCCCTCTACAACTACCTGAAAGTAGCTTATAGAGCGGTGGGTGTTGGCTTCTTCTTCCAAGTAAATAATGATAGGAGCAGAGGAAATGGCCTAAATTTGCAGCAGAGGAGGTTTGGATTGAATTTTAGGAAGAATTTCTATACTGAAAGAGTGGTCAGGCACTGGAACAGGCTGTCCAAGGAGGTGATTGAGTCCCCATCCCTGGGTGTATTCAAGAAACCAAAGAGACTGCAGGACCCGGCACTTGGCTTTGTTGAACTGATAGAATAAGAGGAAATGTTCTCTAGCTGCACCAGGGGAGGTTCAGACTAGACATTAGGAAGAACTTTTTCACTGAAAGGGTTGTCAGACATTAGAATATGCTACCTAGGGAGGTGGGTGAGTCACCATCCCTGAATGTGTTTAAAAATCATCTGGATGTGGCATTTGGGGACATGGCTTAGTGCTGGACTTGGCAGAGTAGGGTTAATGGTTGGACTCCATGATCTTAAAGGTCTTTTCCAGCCTAAGTGATTCTGTGATTCTGTGAAACATGTAGCTGTAGCACTTCAGGACATGCTCTAGTTGCTGAGGTTGTGGGGTTATTTTTGTGTTGACAATGTATCTCAGTGATCTTAGAGGTCCTTTCCAACCATGGTGATTCTGTGATTCCAGAAGTCTGGACTAATGTTCAATTTTATTTTTTTTTCTCCATTTAATAGTTCTTTCTCAAGTTAATTTCATCTCTTACAACAGATTATGAGTGGGTAGGAAGAAGTTATGTTTTTTTTAAAAAGAAAGTATTTAGAATCTAATCCTAGATTTATCATTATTTAGTAAAGTTTTCTTCTGCATTTTGAAAGTATTGCAGAAAAATTAAAATTCAGAATGATGTAATAATGAAAAAGCATATTTGACTGTTATTCTTATACATTTTATATTTCCTTTCAATGACATTATGTGATACAAAATCCGATTATATTTTTTATTTGCTACTTTTCATCTTATATATTTATAAAATTTCGTTGTGGTGTTTTTAGTAAAGTTAGTGTAATAATCTGTGTCGGTAGGTGGGAAAACACAAGTTAACAAGCAGAAGCATCTACTGTTTCTTGGGCTTTTTTCAAAATAGTTTACAACTTGAATAAATGCTTTGTCCCTTGCAAAACTGAAATAGTGTTTTTCTTTTAGCATTGTCACTGCTGCTGTACTTTGCCTTCAGAGTGTTATCAGTTCAGTTCTTTAATTAATCCTGAAGGGGCTGAATGACCTCAGACCTTCCTGCAGACTGAATGTTTTATCTGCATTTTTTTCAGACTGGGAAATTACTTACTTCATGGGTATCTTTTAAAATCATATAATATATTCTCTTGATCAATGAAATAAAAATTAAAAGTTTCTTTATTTGTTGTTATTGTAGGCATTGGATCAAGACAGAACTGCACTACAGAAGGTGAAAAAATCTGTGAAAGCAATATATAATTCGGGGCAAGGTAAGACATGGGTTTCAGTTTTACAAAAGAGCCTGAGTATTTGATTTCAAGTTTGAGAAGTGTCTTGCAGTTCATCCTGTTGAAGTGTATACCATAAGAGATGCTTGTCTGTTTAGGAGTGTTTGGATTTAAACATTTTGTTTCATTGCTCCTGATTATTCATCAGATTAATGTTTTCTCCAATTTTTTCACTGTCATATCTTTCTGCAAAGCCTCTAGAATTCCCATGGGTAAATTTTCCTGTTGTCATATTTCAATCAATTACCTTCAAATACAACAGTTACAGAACAGTGTGCTAGGCTGAATTTATGGCGCAAACTTCATAATGCATTAAGAATGAGAGCTTGTTAAAAAGTTTAAAAATAAAGAAAAACATATCTACCAGTAGATACATTTGATCCTTCAACTCTTGATCTCCCTTCGTAAATATGTACAATAAAAATTATATAGCTCCCTTAGCTAAAATATAAAAACTCTGATTTAGAGATTTATCATTGTTTTGTTTGCTTGAAGGCACTGTTGATGTTTTATAGATGCTATAGCAGTAATTTTGATGAGAGGGTAGGTGGCTGGAATATGAGCTGATAATTAATTTAAGTTCATTAACAAATCAAACACAGATCAATATATAAATTAGATTTTTAAAATGTTACCAAGTATACCTGGCTTCTACCCGTTTCTCTTAAGCTCTGAAAGCTGTTCTAAAGGCAGATGGGGTAGCTGAGCTGTATTACTTTCCAATAACCCATCCGGCTGTAAATACTGGATTTTAGAAAATCCTAGTTCTTATTCCCTAGCAAAAAAAAAATAAAATTGCTGATTTGCTAATTAGTTTAGCAAACATTTTCCTAATGCAGAACCACTTCTGAGTGGTTGTAGTTTCTGTGTTGTTTTGTGTGTGCTGTCCCATTAACTTGTGTTAATGGAAATGTGTGAGGTTTTTAATGTACTGTAGATTATTAACTATTCTGCCAACCACTAATATTCTTGGACTAGTAGCACCACTTTTTAATTAGCTTTTCTGTAACTTCAGTTGCTGACTGTTTTCCCAATGTACTGTGAAGCCTGAGATGAGAATAATATTTGGATACATGTGTGTTTAGTTTTGTTTTTACAAGTACTCAGGTGCTCCAATCAGCTTTTCCATTTGAATTCAAAAATCCTGAATTAAAAAAAAAACACATTTGAATTTCAAAACTGATGAAAATTGTAAAGCACATGAAAGTGCTCTCCTTGTGTTGAAACATAAAAATGATATTAGAGATTTTAGTTAACATTTGATTTGAGTCTTCTAATATTGTTTTCAATGCCTGTAAGTAAGCCCATATTATATAATTGTACTAGACACATTGAGTAAAAACAATAGAAGGTTGGTTAATGGTTTTAATTAGCTGCCTCTGCACTTAAAAAGGAGCTAGGAGATAGATAGGTATTTGATTTTCACTTGTTTTTACTTTGGGCAAGTCTTGTTTCAAAGATACAAGTTAGTATGAATTCTTTTGGATTAAAGGAAGCACTAGACATGATACTCTAGCTCCCTCTTCAGAAAGCTGTTGTGAGATGCTACACTGTCATTTGCATAGGTGTGCACAGGAGATGATTCGTGCAGTAACTGCTAAACATGAAGTAGGGTTAGTAAGAAGAGGAATAAATGCATGTGTTATACATGTGAAACCTTGAAAAAATGAATACAAAAACGAAGTGACCAAATTAAAACTCAAACTTGTTTCGCTTGCCTTTACAAAAATAATTGCTGAGCCTGTTGTTTTCTTTTTATGCTTCAGTGATGAAAGTTGATTTCACTGATGGTTAACTTCATGTAAAACATACTAAGCCAACTATAAAATGCACTGGCAAATATGAGCTCAGGCAAGAGTTAGGTGACTGTTTTCATATTTCATAAGAAAGCTTCTAACTACATTTTGAGAACTTGAAATTGGAATTTTGTTTTGTAAACTTAGTTGTTTGCTAGAAGCTAAGACTGTGTTTAAACTTCTATTTTAAAACTGCTCTCTTTTTAAAAACTCTAGCTAGAATGGTGTGAAATGTTTATTTAGAGGGGACAGAAATCCTTCTCTCTTCTATTCATACTCAACCAAAAGTCATAGCTAGAATTTTTTGGATGGTGTTGGGATTTTTTTGTTTTGTGCCTGAAGTAGTATTTGAACACTGACATTCACACAGTGCAATGTCTCATACATAATTCTTCAGAAAACCCTAGCTCTGGTGTGTTGGTTTGTTCCTCTTCATTGCTGAATTATGAACCACAAGGGACTCTCTTCTGTTACAAAAAAAGCTTAAATGTCACCCAAAGTAATTTTGCTTTTTGTGCACATCCCTCATGCATTTGTCATATTTACGTTTAGATCTACTACTGTGGAAATATGGGAACATGCCAGTACAGTAGTGTGGAAATCCCTTAGAAAGGTCTCACCCTTAGACATGAGTAAGAAATGTTTCACTACGAAGGTGGTGAGACACTGGCACAGATCGTCCAGGCAAGTTTTAGATGCCCCATCTCTGGAAGTGTTCAGGACCAGGTTGCATGGGGCTTTGAGCAACCTGGTGTAGAGGGAGATGTGCCTGCCCATGCAGGGGAGTTGAACTATGACCCAAACCATTTTGTGATATTTATCACCAAGTATCCACTGAGCAGAAGCTACTTTAGAGCTTGCGCCTGTGGGGAAAATTTTCTATCTGTCACTGGATGTTTTCAAGTGCTGTTATGTTTTCAAGTGCTGTTAGCATCTCCTACACAACAGAGGCTAGAAAGTGATTCTGATCTGTGTCATCATTGTATCTGGAAGAAAAAATATATATCTTTTCAAATTATCTCTAAATGTGCCTTATGGACAAAATTAGCTAGATTATCTTTGAGGTCCCTTCCAACCAAAACCATTCTGTGATTCTTTAATCCCTTTTTCCTGTATCTGAAAGTACTTTTTGGGAAATACTTCATGAAATGCAGTGAGAGACTCAAGTTGATATCTCTTTCTCACCACTTCTTCCTTATCTGGTTTGCTGTTTATTTCTGTCATGATAGATTGCATCTTTAACTAGGAACCCGTCTTACATGACTGGTGTATTAACTTAATGGAGAATCCATTCTGACTAGCTTTCCCATAACATTTGGATTGAATTGTAACAGCAGTAAACTGCACAATTATTTTTGTTGTAGATTTTTCAATAGCTCTTTTTTATTAGTTTCCTGGTGTAACTCCCAAATACAGTCAAAATAATTTACACAGTGGAGAACTAAAAACATAAAACCTATGCAAAACCAAAGGTACTCAGTTAGACCAGCAATGCACGTGGTGTCCCACAATGATGAACAGCAGATGCTTGAAGGAAGCCAAAAAACACTAATATTGGTTTTGTGGGTTTTTTTAACACTTTCTCAGCTCGCAATGCTATGAAAATCAGGAATTGGCTGAGTCAGGACTCATAATCATGATGCTTGATACTTTTTAACGGACTTCTACAGTTAATTTTGCCTAAGGAATATAAATGAATGTAAGTCTTTGCCATAGATAATTTTGCATCAATCGAGTTACATGTACTCTTGCTTCCTTGCAAAGGATGTGTTATACTCCTTGAGCCTGATGTCCCCTGAGGAACAGGCTGGCCCTGTCCATGACTCAAAACATTGATTTCAAGCCCACCAGAATGACGTAATTTGATGGGAAATTGAGAGACTTTTGCATATTCTGGGGCATGAGAATACGTAGGGAGCTTGGAAGTCCCACAGCTGGCTGGAGTAATGTTGGAGGACTTTTTGGTGGATGAATCCAAATTTCATTCAGTTTTGTCCATTCAAACTGTTGAAATAGGTTTCTCGGGTAAGTTATTCCCACAGTCATCCACAATATCCCTCTTCTAAACTCAGCAGCCCTTGGGGCTTTTGGGGTGATATTTTGTTTGTTCTCTTTTACAGAAACGGTCGCATACATTTATTCATTCTCACTCTCTTTCTTCAAAGTGGCAGCATAGACTTTGTTTTTTAAAATAGGGAGGAGAATTTAATTTTGGCACCAGTGACAGGAACTGTATACAATATCAAGGGTTTCAGCATGCTTTGTTTAACAAAGGTTGAGGTGATAGAACTCCGGAACCTTTATAATGTCTAGTTACACAATAATTTCTTGAAGTTAACAGTGTTTGCCTTCTTGTGTTACTCTACCTAATTCACAATGTCAGGTAATGGACATTCAACATGGGATACCTCATCTAACTTGGGAGCTTCCAAGATGTGAACTTCTTGCCCTAGACTCTGAGTACAATAAATATATGTAGAGACTTCTAGGGTCAGATGCATCTGATTTAATGGACTCATAGAATCTTTTGGGTTGAAAGGGACCTTAAGATCCTCTGCATTTGCCTTAGGATGAGCTGAGATGTAATTTTTCCTTTGCTGAATATAAAAGGAAGGATAGTCCCCAAGCTCCAATATGGATATCTTTGTTGTGGAAGACAGTGTTTGGACAGATTAATCTCACTTTTGGAGTCAGCGTTTTTTCTGTTGCCTTTAATAATTTATAGTGTTGCATGGAAAAGAAGAACAGAGCTTATCACTATAAATCTTATTTCATAATTTATATGGTGTTAAATGGTGTGGGCCTTATCACTGTTACAGTGATGTGTATACAGTATGTTATCATACAGGACTTCACTAGTGACCTCCGTCCGTTGAGAAAATTAACTCCTGCTCCTTCCTTTCCCCCATCTCATCTTTTTGACCTGTTTTCCCTCCATATGAGGCTCATCCTTGTTGTCCTTTGCTTGATTCCTTTTAGTGTTTTGTTAACGGACAGACCTTTTCAGAAATCCAAACAGGTAATTTAATGTGTATTTCCTCTGCCCACAGGGCTTCTTGATCACCTGGGAGTGGAGGGAGTTGGGACAGGGCAGTTTGTAAAGTAAAAATTTCTTTTTATAGCGGCTGTGTTTATTGTTCAGCTTTTTTTTTTTTTTATCCACATGTCCACCAATTCTGTTCTGCACTGTAGTTTCTACAAATTTGCCTGACGAATATATCAGCATTATTACTCTGCTGGTGCATACTTGAATTCTCAGTTCTCTCTGGAGCTCTTATTAAAAATAGCAGTTGTATTTGCTTCTCAGTCTTCCTATAGTATTGAGGTTGTTATAAATAAGAGGCTTTACTTTATAAATACATATTTGCCTATTTTATTGTTCTGTACCTAAGTCTAAGTGATTTGTTCATTTTGTCAGCTTTTAAGAATTCTACTCTTAGCACTTAGATTGGCTATAAATCCTCTGAAACGGAGTTGAAAGAAAATTCTTCCATGAGAATTTCTTCAGGCATGTCAGTGATGAAGAAAGATGCAAAAAGTAGTAATTTACCTTTCTGGGGTGGCTCATCTCTCAGTGCTTTTACACCGTGATGATCTGGAGAACCTTGCATGCTCTTTGAGGTGCTCCTGGCTCTGGAAATCTTTGAAAGAATCTTTTATTCTTTTTTCTTCAGCAATCTCCGTCCAAAAGGCATTATTGTTATCAAGTCCAGATAAGAATATGATGGGCAAATATTTCTTCTTTTCCATTATTTTTTCATTAGATTGCAGCTTTTTGAAGGATGAAATAAGAAAGGGTGCATTCTTCTTTCAAATAACTTCCTTGCCATCCTTTTTAACCGTGCCAGCTTTCTTGCTTTTTCTAAGGTCTTTTTGAATCTTTTATCATGTGTATGTTTTTTCATTCATAAATGCAACCTGGCTCTGACCTTGATTATTTTTCCTCTGGCTACCCGTGGAACAAAGCCATTTTGTAAGTGCAACATAAAAACCGTTTCAAGTTAATCGGGATTCTGAATCATGATTTGTTTGGGTTTTGGTTTGTTTTTTTTTGGACTTAAGCATATATACAGATGTAATTTTCAATAATTTAGATTTAATTCACATTTTGGGTGTAATTAAAGTGTAATAAGTGACTGGGAGGAGTTGTGTTTGTGTATTTTTCTTCTGTAAACTAACTTTTTTATTGTTGCTCTTCAGTGTTTGCAGGATAATATATCTGAAAATAACTGTTTTAGACAAAGTAAATTTAAGGCTTTAATTCTAGTGATGTGTTTTCCCTAGTGTATAAAAGCTATGCTTTAACTTCTTTTCACCGTATTTGTTCTTCTATTTCCTTATTTAAAGTAGACATGAATTTCGCTAAATTAAAGTAGACAAGTAGACATGAATTTCACTGGTTTCAGAAGCATATACTAAATTTCTGGTAGCTTTTGAATAAGAAATAAACATAGTACTTAATGACTTATACGGGTGTCAGTGATAGAGTACAAATCCTTTGAATGCATTGGGAATAATGATTTAAGTCTATCTTTGTCCTGGGAGAAGTTTCCCAAAAGGTGGCTTTAGGCACAGACAACTTCAGGTGACTGCTTGGGGCAGCAGCATGAGGTGGGATTCAGCCCTGGGAGTCCTAAGTCTGAGCCTCCACGGTGTTCAGGGCTCAGTGTGAGTGTTCCCTTCTTCTGGTCAGTGTTTCTGTGTAGCAAGAGGCTGCTGAGGCTGTAGTTTCTTCCTCAGTTGCTTGGATTTGTGGCTTCAGATGTATTTGTATGATTTCCTCCTCTCAACACACAATCAGGGTATACATTACAGTGCAGAAGTGAGGGTTGCCACGACATTGCTGTGCAAAGAGCCATATCAAGATTTTCTAAAAATCAGTGGTAGATTCTGTGCCAAGTGTTTCTAAACTAGAATATTTTGGTTGGAAGGGATCTGCAACGATCATCTAGTGCAACTGCCTCCTACTGAAGGTGTGAATTGTGGAGAAGAAAAAAATGCATCCTTCAGCTCTCTGCTATATCCAGTGCAGGATGTTGTTTCATGTCTGTGGTTCTGTAGGGCCCTCAACATGGGCTCAGGTGCTACTGCCTGCCTTGCCAGATGGCATCGGGGAGGGGGGTTAGTGAAACCCCATTCCCTGCCTGCAGTCCCTGTGAAGGGAGCTCCCTTGGTCAGCGGGTACAGAGCCCATCTGCAAATGCCCATGATCCTGGCACCTCCTGAGGAGGTGCTGAAGGAGGAGGATGTCTGTCTGGGAAAGCTGTTCTATTTTCATCATAGTACTGAGCTTTGTTTATGATATTGAGAAGACAAGAGCAAGTTCTGGAAGGCAAATGTTATCTTTTGTATGTACTGCTGCCAGTGTTCGTGTCTCTCTCTTCTAGGGCTACTAAAGTCCTTCCTGCAGTACTTGTATCTAAGGAAGTAAACATCAAGTCATGCATGTTACAGCTTTCTTTCCACAAAGGAAATTCTATTAGGACACAGGGAAGTAATTTTTTCTTGGCATGAGGGACCTACAGGGACATTAAAATATGTTTTTGCTCTAAGCATGTTGATTTTAGTATGTTGAATTTTTACACTGCAGATTTAATTTTTCATCTATGTACGTTTAAGGTCACATAAGGAACTACCTTATGACATCAAAAGAAAATATTGTTTCTCCTTTTACAAGACTCATGTTGATACTTAAGTGAAAATTAATATACTACAGAGTACTTGAGTTTTTTGTGTATATGTGTGGTGATTACAGACATTTTCCTTTTACATCATAATCAAAGTCTCATGTCCAGCTTTAGGTGATTTGTGATCTGGGATTCTTGAGAATTTCTTAAATATTGTTCTAGGAGAATGATCTGCTTCCTGCTTCTTTTTTTGTCTGGCAATTTCCACAGATAAAGGAAATAGTCATCTTCAGCTCTTTTTCAGTCTCTTTACAAAATTATTTTTAAAAGTGCTCTATGAAACAACACTTCAAATAAAAATTTTAGGAAATGTGGTGAGGTTAAAAGGGCTTCACCGGCAAGGACAGGTGTTCCATGATCTAACCCTGTCCCATTATCCTTTTTCTTCAGAACAGTAGGGTGCATCTGAGCTTTATAAGCTCAGAACTGCATAGACAAAGCTCCTTCTGAGATAGTCTTCTGTGTATACATATGCAACAGCTTTCACATTGAAACAAAACGCATATTTTATTATTATACAGTGGCTTCCTTGGTTTTAATGCTAAGCTATTTCATTAAAACATATGCTTTTGAAACAAATTTGCTGCTACGAAAAGCAAACCATTTGAGTAACAGCTCCATACTAACATATGATTAAATATTTGGCCTTTTGAAAGCCTCACTGTTAAAGTCTGACTTCAGAATGTAACTTGTCTGATGTGTGGGTTTTGATTTTGGTAAACAAACATTAGTATTGTTTTCTGCTGTTAATCTATTTGTCTTCTAAATTTTTTTCTTTTTGTTGGAGCTTTGGTGCACTGTTGTTTTGAGTACCTCTAATACCTTAGAAATGTTATTATCTGACTCTTCATCAGCTCTTAGTTAATATCAAAGTAGCTGCATGCATTGTGAGGCTTCATCTACAAGCCTTGTTTGAAAGTGTCTTTTTTTAGTATCTAGTTTAGAGTTTCCTTTCACACACCTTCCATGTTATTCAAATGCTGTAAGGCAACACAATAACTTGAAGAAAATAAAACTTGTAGGTCTTTTTGGGAAAAAACGTGGTACCTACTGGCATCTGTTCTCCCTTTCCCTCCTCCCTTTCACTGCACAGACATTGTAGTTGGAATAGATCTGTGGTTTTGTGTTTGTGGCTTACAGAAAAAGCCAGCATGACTAGGAAACACATTAAAGTGAAATATTGATTTAATTAATAACAACAATATTCCTGTAAGAAAGATGGAGTTGATAAAGCGTCCCAAAGGCTCTAGTGGTAAATTTTCTATTTAAAGATGCTAAAATAGAATTAAAAAAAAACAAAATGGAAATGGATGCCAGAAGAGAAACTAATAGAAGCAGTCTTGTTCTGTAAGATGTGTTTCTTCTTTTAAACTTGCAGTCTGATTCCAACTTGTTCCCTTAGTTTTATATCTAATACTAGTGGCTTTATTTATTCTATAGAATTGTCCTACATTACAATTTTTAAAAGTTTGCATTACAGTAAACAATTACAAATTCTGATGTTGTTTAGAAAATGAGCACACATACTTATATTGATAGATCTTTTATTGATTTTATTTCTTTATTAATAACCACAGAGCTTTTTTCATTTATGTATTCCAATCAACTCACTGGCTTAAAAAAAAACCATATGTATTTCTATTTGCTAAAGAATTATTTTTAATACCATGATTGTAATATTCAGTAAAGGCATTAACTTGTGGCTCTTTTGAAAGTATGTTTGTCAGTTGGTTTGTCACTACATTGCAAAATAGAAGCTTGAAATAATTATCTGTCTACAAGAAAGAAACTTTCTGACTTGTAATTTTTTTTGTTTTTTTTGCAGATCATGTTCAAAATGAAGAAAACTATGCACAAGTGCTAGATAAATTTGGAAGTAATTTTTTAAGTCGGGATAATCCAGATCTTGGCACAGCTTTTGTAAAATTTTCCACACTTACTAAAGAATTATCAACGCTGCTGAAGAACCTGGTGAGGACCTTCAAACTTTCTTGTTATTTTAGTTTTTCCAAAATAAAATACAGTACAACAGCTGCGTGATCCGGATGATAATTTTAGAGATACTTTCATTATTTTTTTTTCCAAAATACAATAGAATTTCTACAGAGGTTATCTCCACAGGGTGTGTTACTCAACCCTCACTCTGTGTGATTGCTAATTGGCAGTTAAGAAGAAAAATCTAAGTGTTGAAGCATCACTTGAGGCATAATTTTCAAGTGATGGGTGATGTTTTATAACTCTTCTTGTGGACCTTATTTTAAGTGATTCTCTGATTTTATGTTATTCCAGTTAAGAATCCAATACCACTAGCTATTTCTGTCTTACCTCCCAAAGAGAAACTTTCCCTTTCTGGAAGAATAATAATTATTGGGGAGCCTGCTTCAATGGTGTTAGCAGTCAGTTCTCTCTGTGAAATACATAGTATCCGTTGCTTAGATGTTAGGCTTATGAATGTGGTTTAAAGTTTTGTTTAATCTCAAGTTCATCTTCAGCCTTTTACTTCTGAAAGCTGGATAATAAAAGTGTAGTCATAGCAAATATCTTTGATTGCTGAAAGTAACTAAGCCACATTTCTTGTCAAATAATGTTTCGTGGGTTTGAAAGCTGTTGTATTTAGGAAGTGGTAGCTTCAATTTGCTGTTTTTCTTATAGTTGGGCTTAACCCCAAGCTTGTTGGTGTGTAAAGTATAAGCAATATTACAGGCTTTCTTTACTAGAGTCCCTAGCACGAGCACAGCTGCTTTAGATCAAACCAAAGGTCTGTATAGCCAGTACCCTGGCTTTGAGAGTTGCTTAAGAGTGAATCTTTGGGGAAGTATTTAGGAAGAGAGCAAACATATGGGGATAACCTCTGTACTGTGGTCAAGAAAACAGTCTCCAGCTCAGAGATGCTGGAGCTGGAGACAGCATGTTTTGCTCTGCAGTCCTTGTTAGTTAGGTATTTCTTCTACAAATTTGTCTAAGGATTTCTTGAATGTATGCTGTGCTTGACACAGACCATGGTGGATTCCTCCAGAGCACCAGAATGAACTGCTGTCTCCAATGTATCGATTCTATTTCTTTTGAACTGGATCCTTTCATTTATTGTTCCCTGACTCTTATGTCTTAAAAAAAAAAAAAAAATTCCCTATTTTTCCCAGGAATTTGATATAGCTTTCATTCTTGCTTTTCCTTAATCTGTTATTTCTCTAGCTGAGACTGTTATTCTGTAACTTGAGCTGTCTGTATTGGTCCTTTTTGTATCTTCTCTTAATACCCTTGTGCCCTTTTCTAAAATAAGGGGGGACAAATGTGAAGACGTTTCCATTTATTGCTTCCTTTTCTGAAGGCTGGTTGCTTTATGATTACTAACCACTGAGCTTGATGTTTTCAAGGGATTCTGTGTTGTAACTTCAAGGTATTTTTTTTCCTTGAGACATTTTTCTTCATGTCTGTGATTTCATAAGCATAATTCTGTATGCAGGTTTTTTCTCTTTATGCATCACATTTTTCAGCATAGACTTCAATTTTTAATTTCACTCTTTCAGTGGTATTACAAGCTTCTTATGCAATTCTTCATACCAGCCTTTTCCTCTACTACCCAGAATAGCTTAGTATCAGTAGATACTCTCACCTGACTGCACTCTTCTGAGATTCACTTATGAACACCTCAGAGCAGAGGTCCTGGGGTATCACTTTTGACCTCTCATGCTTCTGCTAATTTCTGCCTTCTGAGTCTGACCTGTGCTTCATCACCAACTCAGTAATGTAAGGGTGATCACATTTATCCTCATGAAGCTTGCTCTGGCCTGTTGCCTGGATCATCCTTTGTTTCAGTGTTGGCAGTTTTAATGACCAGAAGACACACGAGGGACCTGCTTTCCTCTAAAGACTTCTCTCATTCTGGGTGATTTTGGCCTATTTTAATCTTACTGTAGCACACAATTAAAAATAAGTACTCTAAAATGTGTTTTAAAGTGCAGTTTGAGGACAGTTTGGGAGTAGTACTCTAGTTTTTTGGATGCTGTCTGGACCACATCATTCCTTTCAGGTCTTCCACAGAAATTTTTAACTTTTCAACTGGAGGAGGAAGGTGATGTATTTATTTAAAGTATCTCTGATTGAGAAGAAGGTAATTAGGAAGCCACACTCATTCAGAACAACGTTATATTATTTCAGCTAGACTACAAAGCATTATTTATCTAAATTAATTGTTGGCAGGATTTAAAATAGGGTATCCCCCCATTCAGCAGTCTCAAGGAGATATCAAGATTGCTGTATCAGCATTTTAAGAGCAGTGATTTTTCAGCTTTCTTCTATTCAAGATGGACAGTTCTGCTTTGCTGACACACTGGTATTTTTAAGCATCAGTCTGATTAATTGCAATGAGAGAAAAATATTTTTATAATATTGAAATAGAAGTTGAGATCCAGTGAAAAAACAACTGAGAGGAGGACTGCATAATGTCATGGTTGAAGCCCCACCGTGGTATTAATATTAATGGCTAGCTAATAGGCTTTTTTTTTTTTTTTTTTCTTCAAATGGAGGAGATTATTGCTGCCTTATTTAATAACTTTACAGCAAAGTGATGAATACGCTTTAAAGACTGGAAGACAAATAAGAAATGAAGCTACACAGAAGGCAACAAAAATACTCTTCACTCTGTTTTTATTAAATATTTTAAAATTTAATTATTATTCATCAAATATTTTCCTATTAATTGTGATATGCATATTTCAAGAGAAGGAGGGTACAAAATTGTTTATTTTCTTCTGTGTGAAAGAATTATGGAGTGACCACTTTGAAAGTAATCTTCACTTTCTATGATCACTTACTATGAAGTAAAGCCTGCAACTTGTATTGCATATAAAACTTTTGAAAATAATCTTGAAATTATTGCTCTACAGAAAAGGTAAAAAATAAAACCAAATAAGACTATACACAAATTTTACTGAAAACTGTTGATGTTATCCCTAGATATAAAATCTGAAACTCAAAACATAAAAATAGCGTACATTTCTGACTGTTTCTTTTTAAAGATTATATGATGAGACACAGTGAGCACATCTGTAACACATGGTTAGGGTAATTACATTGTGCTTGGCCATTGTCACCACTGCTCTGCATTTTCAGCAATCTCTGAGTGTCCTACGAGAATAGATTTTTCTGCTTTTTACTACTTCTGCCTTCTTTCCTGTTCCAGGTTTCATTCTTTATACAGTGATTCATTATAATAATGCATTAAAAATCAGTCTGAAGATCTGCATATGTGAAACCAAATGTGTCAGTATCTTTAAATTGATCTATATCAGCTTTTGAAAGAACATTTGCAGCACTTGCAGATTACTTTTTTTAATTTTGCATGGTGCTTGGCTTTTTTTTCCAAATGGTTAAATCCTGAACTTTTCTCCCTCTTCCCTTTCCTGTGAATGTCCCCAGCTAATCTGTTTGGACAATTCATCTTCTCTTCACATCCCTCCTTCCCAAATTATCATATGTATTTCCATCTGTTACGTTTTTTTCTTTATTTTGTTCTAGATGTGAGACTATTTAACTTTGTTATCAGACATGTTTCTAATTAATTTGAACTATTGTTTTATCAAGTCTTCAACAATGGATTAAGTTATTCCAAAAAATTACCATATTGGCAGCATACACTGCTATTTAGGTGTTGTGTTTTTTTTCCTAGCTGACATAGTAGCTGGCTACTGTTCTGTAATTTCAGGCCAGGTATTAATGGCTTGAATTAGTTATCCTTAATGGATTTGTTTTGAAAAAATAAAATAAAGCAACAGTACTGTGCTGTTGTTCATACCTGCGCTGATAACTGCTTTAAGACTGCCATATCCAGCCATATCACAGAAATGTGTTCCTTTTTTATGAACTAGTCTGAGATTGAAGTATTTTGGATATTTTTTCTCAAAATTCTTACATGATAGAAACTTCAGTTAAGGTTGTTAGGTGACAGCTGATTTAAATGGTTGAGAATGGAAACAATAGTACCTTTAATTAGTATGTTGATAAAGTAAGTATTGCCTTAATCAGTATAAAAAAATAGACCTGGGCAGGGAGTTGTTAGTTGTGATATAATGAGATAAAAACCCAACAGAGGGCAGATTGTGAAAAGGCATAATCCTCTACAAATTCCCTGGCTCCTTTTATTTCTGTTATGAAATAATACAGGGGGCAATGTGCAAATGTTTAAGCTAAGAAGGAGAAACAGAACCTCACTCTCTAGTAGAGTCAAAGCTTAGAGTATCCACTATAAATTCCTTCAGTAAAACCAGATAAAGAAAAAAACTTTTGGGGTTTAATCACTGCAAGTGATGAGGTGCCTTTTTTTTTCATAAAAAGATTAATATTTCTACATTAATTATGATGGTGCAATTAAGGAGAAAATCCCTTCTCAGATCTTCATCTTTTAAGCCATGAAGAACCACTGCTCTGTGTTAATGTTATTATTTGAGTCTGTAGTTCAAGTTGTTCTGGTGGTTGCCCTCATCTTTCCTTGAGTATATTTTGAACATAAGATTTTGTGGCTTTAAAAAATTTAAAATGTTGGCACATGAAACAGTTGTCAAGATATCTTAAACATGAAGGTAAAAGGTTGTGGTTTATGTTTTCTGAGTTTGAATCCATCTCCTGCTAAGAGTAATTGTGAGTTATATTGCCTGCAAGCTGTCCAAAAATAAAATAATTTGGGTGGCTCACATGCTATCTGCTGGTAATTAAGTAGCTGTAGAATAACCTGCATTCAAAAGAACCACCTTCCCCTCTGCCATACTGAGACCCCAGTGCTTTCCAGAGGATAATGAACATCAAGTTCAAGAATGGTGCTTTTTAGGATTTCTTTACTGAGGGTGGTGAGACGCTGGCACAGGTTGCCCAGGGTAGTTGTGGGTGCCCTGTTCCTGGAAGTGTTCAAGGCCAGGTTGTATGGGGCTGGGAGCAACCTGGTCTAGTGGGAGGTGTCCCTGCACATGGCAGGGTAGTTGGAACTAGATGATCTTTGAGGTTCCTTCCAACCCAAGCCATTCTATCAGTCATTAGTGAAGCTGAAAGACTTGTTGGCAGTATCTTGATAAGATAATAATACATCTTTTTGGTTGATACTAGTATAATTATTTTTTTCTTTTTAGCTCCAGGGTTTAAGCCACAATGTTATTTTCACTCTGGATTCTCTCTTAAAAGGAGACTTAAAAGGTGTTAAAGGGGTAAGTATTGAAAACTAGCTTTTTATTTAGGGAAATGTTTTTAGATTCAGCTGTCTTGTGTCTGTTTTCCATTCACTCATGAGATTATTTCTTATGTTGACATCTATTGATATTCTGTATGTAGCTGAAAGAACAAATTAAAAATTGGTGTGACTGCTTCGTTAGAATTGAGTTGTAAATTCCTGTCTTAAGGTGCACAGGAAAGTAATCATTTACAAGATGAAAAAACTACTATTTTTTCCACCTGCTGCCTGAAAAGTTTTGAAGGAAAAGCATTTTTTTACTTCTATTTTCAAAGTTTTAAACATGTACTAAGCACATTTTCTGTTTCCTAAGGACCTCAAAAAGCCTTTTGACAAAGCCTGGAAGGATTATGAAACCAAATTGTAAGTGTTTTCTCTCTTTTTTTTTTTGTCCCAAACTAAGTAATGTGTCTACAGATAATAAAGGTGAACATAGGCAAGGTGTCTCTTGTGTAGATCTCTCTTCTGCACTAATAGAAGTAAAATATTTTTATTTTCTCTGTGAAGTAGTTAAATAACTGCCCAGTGTTTCTTTAATGTGCAGAAGATACTTAATGCTCAGATTCTGAACATTGCAAAATAAATTCTGGAATTTTCACATGGCATTCATACAGTCTTTTAACTGTATACATAAAGTAGTAAAATTTGAGATTTATATGTTGTGCTGTGTTGCAAAACTGTTTTTGAGAGTTTAGTGCAGTTGCTGTGACTCCTAAAGTATCTGAGGTTTAAAAAAAATATATTCTTGCTCTACCTGTCTTCTGTGGGTAAAGAATGACTTAAAAATACATGGTTAGAAACGAGAAGTATCACAGCTGCAGAAGTATTAGTGGGATGGTTCAGAATGTTCTCAAGGAAGTGATAAGCAGTTGCTTTATCAGAAATCAAGATCTGTCAATTAATTCATTTTTTGTATCCTTTCATTTATTCCCCTTTTTAATCCTCTTATTAGCTTTATTTAATTTATGTCTAACCAGAAGGGGAAAAAAAACCATGAGAGAAAAAAGACTGCTAAGAACTACTGAAACATTTCTTATCAGCATAATTTTCTTTGCTACATATAGTAACTTTTCCCTTCAAAATTCATTAAAATTTTGAAACCTTTTAAACAACTCACCTGGATATGAGGTTATTACTAATCTAAGGAAAAAAGCCTATTCTTATCCCAAAATCACAGAATTACTCAGTTGCGTGGTCAGATTTACATGCACAATTGGATTTTTTTTCTTGTTTAGTAACTTAGTTCTTACAGATACTGAGTATTTTGCAAAAATACTGACTATAGTCAGTTTATAGTTTTCTATAGACAGTAAATTAGTATCAAGGATATATTTGCAAACCCATTTATACCAAATGCCATTAAACAGCACTTAGGAGACAGAAGTATCTCATAAAGACATGGAAGCATCTGTGGGATTCTGTTTGGAACTTGCAAAGTTTACAGAAAGATGCATGTTGTTGTGTTACTTTTTTTTTTTTTTTTTTTTTTTTTCTTTCTTCTCTCGTGAGCAAATTTCACTTGGAGTTATTAAGACCAAGATGATGTTCCTTACATTTCTCAGAGAACCCCATTTCCCAGAATTGGTTCAAGACCAAATACCAAGTCAAGTTCAGAGGCTTGGTGCTGAAAAGTGCTTTGTTCTACATGTAAACACTATACCTTTCTTACCTGGAGAAAAGCAGACTTCAAAACCAAATAAATGAATCCCTTTTATTATTTTTTCCCTGGCAAGGAGTACCAGTCTAATAAGCACACACCACTTTGTCACCTGTTGTACAGAAGTAGATATTCAGTTTTACTTTTCTCAAATAGGCTGCTAGAGAAGAAAGATTATCATTTTAAAAGAGGAAATCAGAAAATTATTTCAATTTTTCTACTCAGTATTGGAAATCTAAGTTTGCTTAGATAGGAGTGTGCATTGCTTAAATGGAGTGTCCGTTTATTCTGCGGAGTAGATACACAAGGACAGTCACATTGCAAAGCTCTAATTAAAGTCTTGGGATGGCCTCTTATTTCCATATTTGTATTTCAGTATTTCAGAACTACAGTGCTTGGTTTCTCTGAAAATTTGATGCCTGGAAGTCATGTTATGTTTTTATTAATTCCTGCCTTACAAGCATGGAACATACTTGATTTAAGATATTCTGCCTTTTTTTCTGCCCAGTCAGAGGTTTCCTACACGGGTACTTTACATTGCAGTGTACATAAATGAAGGCTTTGGAGCACCTCATATGAAAAGAATGAGATGTTTAAATTTTTTTCCCCAAGTAGCATGCAAACTAGAGAAAAAGGTGAAAGGATGAAAGGAAGGAAGGGCAGCTTCATGACTCCCATTACTTCTGGACACTTAAAAATATATAGTATTTGGTGTTGTAGAGGAGCTAATCCTCAGAATGGCTTCTTTAGTATTTCTTGGATTTTGTTGTTTTTTTAAGTAATACTAGATCACGTGATAGAATAAATGCTCTAAAATGTTTTCTCATTATAATTTCAGCACAAAAATTGAGAAGGAAAAAAGAGAACATGCAAAACAGCATGGGATGATAAGAACTGAAATAACAGGAGCTGAGATAGCAGAGGAAATGGAGAAGGAAAGACGACTATTTCAGCTACAGATGTGTGAAGTAAGAAACAAGTTTTAGCCTTTAATTATGACACTGTAACTTAAAAATACCCTGTGAGCCTTACTATAAAGGTAGTGAAATCAACTTCCTTTTATAGGGGTGGAGGAAGGAAATTATTTCAATGTCACATAGTATAGCAATATAAAGATAATTATTTTAGCAACTCTAGAAAACATGGCTTCCTTTTGTTTTATTCGTTTTCTTAGTTTTTAAATTATTATGCTAAGATTCTTGAGCTGAAAATATACTATGGAAATATTTATTGTTCTTTCAGTTTTTTTAATATCTTTCTTCCAGTGTGTGTTCTGCAGCCTTCTAAATTTTTCAATAACATGATCAAATATAGGGATATGTTAATTCCATAAAGCTGCTTTTTTATTAATAGTTCCCTTTATTCCATTTTAGTGGTGATTACATAGAATTTATTACTTTAGTAGGTTTCACTAATTACTTGCAGTAGTATTGCAGAAGGGAAATCTTCAGACAATTGGAAAATTTGTTTTAGATTTTGGGGTGTTTGAATTTTTTAGGAATGGCCAAATAAACTTTTGTATCTTTTACATTTTGCTTAACTGTGATGCAATGGTAGAGAGAAGTCATTAAGTAAATAATGTTTTATTGATTTAAAACTGTTGAAGGTTATGAGGCATGACTATCAATATTTTTTTTTCACTTTCTATACAGTATCTTATTAAGGTTAATGAAATCAAGACAAAAAAAGGTGTGGACCTTCTGCAGAACCTTATTAAGTATTATCATGCACAGTGCAAGTAAGTGTGATGCTTTTAAGCTTTAGCTAAAATTTCCTTTTTTTACAGAACTGTTTCCCTTTGCTTTCAATTTGTTTTGGTTACATCAGGAATTTTTATCATAATTATAATCTGCCCAGTGTCTGCAACTTCATTTTTTCATGCCATTGTCTTTCAGTAGACAACATGTCATGTTGTCTTTCAGTAGAGTATGAGAGTGAGTGGGGGAGTGGAGTGATGCAGAAAGAGGGCAAGGGAAAGCCCTGCATGTTGTGTACAAAATTAATTTTAATACTTGAGGGACAGATCTGGAATATAGTTTTAGAAATAGCCTGTTTATTTTATTTAATAGTTTTTAGTTCTTCTGCAACTATTAAAACTGCGAAAGCCAGTAATTTCTTTGAAATTCCTTGAGCTGAAACTGGTGAGACATGACCTTGTCATCAGTAGAAGTACAGAGACAAACATACACAAGTTTTTACTTAAATACAGGAAAGAGATTTTAAAAGTTACTAAGGAGAAACATGTTAACAGGAATGAAATAAGCTAAGCCATAGTCTCTCTAACTTACCATTGTGACTTGAACAAATAATATATTTCCACTGACAAAAGTCATACTTCAGAACTACTGGGAAGGGTTTTTAAACAAAAAAAGACATAAAAACTGACAAAAAACCAAACAAAGCCCCCAAAGGAACAACAATAAAGAAGCTTCAGAGTGATGAATATAAATTGATTTCCTTCAGATTTCTAATTTAGAACAAATATTTGACAAGTTAAGCTTCTGTTTATCTGTAACCTAACCCGTCATCATGTAAAGTGCTTATTTGTCAAGATAATATTAAATATTTCTTGATTGATATACAACTATCAGACCTTTCTGAAGTATGTAACATTAAAGGGATGTGGCAGCTGTGCTATTTTGTGATTAGATTGAGAGTAAAATGGTTCAAACTGGGTTTGTTGGTTCAACTGGTTTGTTGTTTTTGAACATGGCAGGAGCTGGATAAGTTTTATTGTTCTTTTCACTGCAAGTCTACTTTATGTTATGAATTAGGTATATTCCTGATAAATCACAGGTATTTTTCATTATAGCTTCTTCCAAGATGGCTTGAAAACAGCTGATAAACTTAAACAATATATTGAAAAGTTGGCTGCTGACTTATATAATGTAAGTTTACTTATAAGATGTATGTCTAAAACTGGAAATGCTTTATTTATATTAATATAGTTTAGATATTGCTACAAGGGTTTATATTTCATTTGTATCTTACAAGTGAAAAATACGTTCTTTGAAACTTTGTATATAGCTAGATTGAAGAAAAAACATCTGAACTGTTTTAAACTTTGTATACGAAGATGATTAGGGGAGTGGAACATCTCCCTTATTACTTATAAGATGTATGTCTAAAACTGGAAATGCTTTATTTATATTAATATAGTTTAGATATTGCTACAAGGGTTTATATTTCATTTGTATCTTACAAGTGAAAAATACGTTCTTTGAAACTTTGTATATAGCTAGATTGAAGAAAAAACATCTGAACTGTTTTAAACTTTGTATTCCATTTTTTACAGTTATTAGGAAAAATATTTTCATTCTTGTACTAATTTAATGTTGCATTAAAATAAAATGTTTGAATCAGACAAAATTATTAAGCACCAATTTTAGCTACCACTTTCATTTTTTCTGTCACTAACTGCTTCATGATAGCACTGTAGTAGGAAGGCAAATAATAATGTGGAATCCAAGCTCTACTTGTCAGCCAAGTGCTTTTATATAATCAGAATGACAATAATCCCATTAACTGTTATAATTTGTGACTAATTTAAACTGTATCTACATTCCTTAAGTAATCTGTCAAGCTTATTGGAGTTATTTAACTGATATTTCAGGGGCTAATTTAGTAACCATTAAAAAGTAACAAAAGTGAGCATGTGGAGTGTACAGTCATTATAGCTTGCTTTTCAAGTACTGCATGCATAGGTGGTGAATACGTAAAGTAAACCCAAATACTGCTGAAATACAGAATAGTTGTGCTAGTTGCTCAAGATGTCTAAAATTATATATTGGAATGCATAAAATATTCACATTGCATCCAGAAAGCATATGGCAATCTCTTTCCGTAGATAAAGCAGACACAAGATGAAGAAAAGAAACAACTTACTGCTCTCCGTGATTTGATAAAATCTTCTCTGCAGCTTGATCAGAAGGAGGTAAATCATTTAGACATGTTATTCTTTGAGATGTGAATTTATTAATTTTGTATTCACTAATTGTCTTAATTGATGTTCAATTTGTTTAGTTATTGGTTCAGAAGGGTTGGACTTTGAACAGTATGATAAAACTAGTATTTAAAATGTCCAACAAACAATAGTTCTAGAGAAGTTTTCTGGTTCTGTTTTTTATATAAAAAGAAATTATTTATTTTTTTTGGTGTAATTTTATATTTTTTAATGTACTCTTTTAATGTACTACAAGAACAGTTGTAATGGATTGAATAAATGCTTCATGTAGCCTGGTATCAAGTCCTAGACAAGGATAATGAATGAGTGTTGAGGAAAAAAAAATAATAAAAAAAATCTCCAGGCAGATTGTGTTCAGGATATTCTTGAGTAAGTCAGAGTAAGAACTAGAGGCTTGTCTTTACATGTAGTTTCTGTATCACTGCTCATCTGCTGATCCATGTGGATCTTGTGATTGTGTTCTCCTTCCTAAACCTCTTTTGTTAATACTGTATCATAAGGAGGAAAATTTTTCTGTTGGGTAGATAGGAGTGGCTGAGACAGGCAGTTAAAAATACATCATGAATTACACTGATATCAGATGTGAAGAGGGAATGTGCAATGTCCCTTGCAGATGTGCTGGAATACTCCTTGAACTAGGAGTATATAATATGTATCAACTTTTACCTGAGATACTTTGTGACTTTTTCCAAATCATGGTGGTTGAGAATGCTGAACAATAACGCTGAGTGAGGAGTGCTGTAGGGGAGGGGATGGTTTTCCTTTTAAGAAAAGATCACTTATCCTCTGTTCAGTTTTCTCTTAGGTAAATAAAATGCCAGTATTTGCCAGGTGTCTACTTGGTTTATTAAATTATTATTATTATTATCATGAGCATTATCATTATTAAATGTTAGGCAGATGCCATTCTGCTGCATATATGGTCATCCACATACATGATTGGACAGTATTGCTAATATCAAGTATTCAGAAGAACATAATTTACAACCATATGTACTGAGTCAGCCAGGTTTCCAACAGCTCTCAGTTATGGATCTTTAGAGTAAAATGTGGGGCAATAAACACTGATATTTCCCCAGAATACCCTCCCATTAGTAGTTGGACTGTCTTAGCAAGCTTTCCACCTCCTTATGGATTTCCTCTCTGAATCTGTACAGTTGCATTTTGAAACAGTGTAAACTATCAGCTTCTGTTGTGTGTGAAAATCTTTTTCCTTTTATTTGCTTTGAACTTTCAGATCTACATGCTCTTCTCAAGACAGGAATGCTTGTGAATTTATGATAGCATCAGTAAATCGTTTCTGATCATCTTTTTTATATCTGTCCTAATATTATCTTGCGTTTCTACAAGTGCTTAGTGCAGAGAAGGAGGTGTGTAAAGTTTGATCAGCTGTAAAGCTATAACCATAGCATCCTGTTTCTGAATATTAAGTCAACTCACAGTATCTTATTTTTCCGCTCTGCATCACTTTGCATTTGCTTATGCTGATCTTCACCTGTCGTTTATTGTAAAGTTATTCACTGTTGTGAAGTCCTTGAGAAATTCTTCAGTTAGCCTTTTGTTTAGCCTTTCCTGAATAATTTGATACCATCCAGTAAACCTTGACAGTTTACTCTTCACCCTTTTCCAGATTGTTTTAGTGTTGGACACCATATGCTGGCACAGCTTTCTGTGAAGCTAATTTCTTTGTTTCCTACTTTCAACTTGGTAGCTCATCTGAGGACTTTTCCTCTTGTCCTGTAGCAGTTCTCCTTTAATAAAGAGCACAAAATGCCCGTTGAAAGTCCAGGTACTCTGTATCAGTTTGATTTCTCATGTGTATTCTCTTACTGATCTTTCAGTGAAATCCAGGAGATTTTTGAGACAGTACCTTTCCATACAAAATCTGAACTGATTTTCCAGTATATATATGATACTAAATGTACTCCTAAAAGTAGCTTTCATTAGTCTTTCATTATGTAGTGTGAAACTTACCAATCTTTACTTTCCTGCAATTCTCCTGGAACTTCTTAAAAAACAGGACTTTAGTAACTGGTCAAGTAAGTATTTTTATGAGCTTTCATGTAATTCTGTAGGTAGCACATTGTTGTTATGGCTATGGCTTGAAGTTAGTCAATTATTTCAGGCGGAATCACAATTAATAAGGAATGATTGATGAGTCATTCCTTACAATGTGGTTGTTGGTGGTGGTGTGTTTTTTTTTTCTTTTGAATACTTGCCTGTGTGTGCTTTTGTAATGTAGATGTACATTATATAGTAGATAAGTCTTGGCCTGAAGGCTGTTCCTCTCCCCACGGCTTTAGTCACATCATTCTGAACATCACAACCTTACAACACATTGTACATAGTTTCAGAATTTCTTTGTCAAAAACGATGACAGGAGCACTACGAAGCACATTTGAATAGATCCCAATTTATCTTAAGCCCAGCCAGTTCTTTCTAGTATTCAGTTTTCCTGTATCTCATACTCTGCAGTCTTTCTCAGCTGGTGTATTTTTCCTTTCATCTCCAATGAATCTACTAGATCTCTTCCATAATACTTACAGAGCTTCCCATACATATGTTACATTTGTAGGCTCCTGAGTATCTAAATCACTCTGAATGTAACTCATGCTTGTTCTCCATCATCACCCCCAAAAGTTGAACAGAGAACATGAGATTTCCATACTATTTGGAAATATTTTTAAATTCTGAAGTGCTTTCGTGAGTCAATTCCCAACACACATGGAGGAACAAGACTTGCTCTCTTCTCATGTACCTTTTTTCTTTTCCACAAGCTGATAATCTGGAAAGCAGAGAAAAGGACCTCCTTCTCTCCTGGCTGCTGTGTATGTCGCTAAGTTCAAGCTACTTGGTAATCAGCCAGTTCTTGGAAATAAAATAGGACAGCTGGGTTGTTCTTTGGTGCTGTGTAGTGTACACACATGGCTGCATGTGGTACAAGTCAAGTTTCAAAAGTTGCTTGCAGATTTTGATGAGGTCTAATAACTAAATTAAATACAGTGTTTGGTTACATATTTCCTGGGTGTGTAATAAAAAATACTCTGATTCAGTGGGAAGTAACCTCATTTAAAATACAAAAATTAAGTCAAGTGAAGTTTGGAAACTTATATACATGATGTAATAAAGAAGTTCCACAGGTATCACTGAAACAAACTGTGCCACTTTTCTAACTTTAATTATGGGACACTGGAAAAACTGTGTATATATGTATATCATCTATATAAAAATTATAAAAATAAAATGTTTGGCTTGAGAGTATTGAAATTGTGTCTTAGAAGGAAAAGGAGCAATATTGTGATTCTCAGATATTCAGGTAAATTGTGAGAGAGTGAGAGATCTGCTGTAAGGAAGGAATCCACTGTTTTGGATAAAATAACCGTTGAATCACATTGATGTTCAGGTGTCTTTCACAAGAAACGTGGGACTTTCACTCATGTGATTCTGCTGCATTACATGAGTCAGAGGGTAATGATGCTTTCAGATATTAAGGAGCTTGTTAAAACAGTGTTTCTGTTAAGAGTATCCAGTGTTTTAATCCTGAAATAGCATGACAGTGTTCATTACACCTTATTTAAGTGGCAATGGAACTTAAAGACACAGAGCCTGAGTTTTACCAGTTAATTCTCCATCGTGTTGTATATCCAACACTTCAGGTATGGAAAACTGGGCTTTATTACTGTGACAGATGGCCTGGTTGTTTGTGATTTGCCCCTTTATATTAGTGCATTATAATCTCACCTTTGGAAAGTTTATGGATTAAAGGAAGTATGGAAGAACATTAAATGAGTGAGATTTTCTCTTGTGGATTTGTAAGAAGTACTATTACAAAAATTTACTTCAGTGGGGAAACAGTTTGAAATAATAAAGTTGAGGCCCTGGTTGTCTGTAGTTTTAAGTTTCTTTGACCCTTTCTGCCAGAGAAGGAAATTGGAATTAGTGATTCCTTTCTAAATGGTAAATTTTTCCACCTTTAACATTCTTTGGAGTTGCTGTTAGATAAGTGAGACTTCCTGCCCAGCTCAGACTGACCTGCTGTCACAGATTAATTTGAAGTAATGTGTATGGAACAATTACTCTTCAGCACCCATACTTGAATTCAGGAAAACCAGTAATGTACAAAATGAGCTCACCTCATTCCTTGCACTCCCACAGTCTCATAATGCAACTCATGTTTTACTGTTGCTTGTGTTCAAGGTGTTTATTTAACATTATGGACATTTGTAATGTTCTTACACATCTTGCTGGCATACCTGTCCTTCCATTGGTGAAAAAAACTATTACCGTAAACTTTACCGTTACTTGGTTCTTGGGAAAGCACATCCTGTCAATCCTTGAATCTGGGGTTGTGCAGAAGTGCAGGTGCCATTGCTTCTCTATGGAAAGTACAATTTACTGTGGTCCTGTTACATGCAGTGGCCCCTGCTGCTGCTGTGTACTCTCTTGGTATCCAGTTATGGCAATTTCTATTACTTTGCACAAAAATTATCTGATTTTGTAAAACATCTGTGATTTAAAGCTTCAGGGAATTATATTTTAAGGCATACTAGTGTAATTTTAATTGTGTAAAGCATTTATTTTATATGTTGAAAAATGCTTATCTGTTAAGAACCTTACGTTTTAAAGCAAAGCAGGCCTTTAATATAGCCTTTTATTCCCTATTTTTGTAAATGAGTTATTGGTACAAATGTAACTGAACAACTTTAAGTTGAATATAGCTAGTGTTTAGAATCATGTTTTGTCTGTTAACTATTTCTTTACATTTTGATTTATGTCCTCAATTCTCCATCTGATATGCTCTTTGGAAAAGGAATTATATCTCATTACTTTCTTTCCTATGCTAATACCAATAGGACCCTAATTCCAACAGGGGCTCAAAATTTACTTAGAACAAATTAGCTGCTTATGGTGGTGGTGTAAACACTGCTGACAACTCATTTCACACAGCAGCCTTCATGCTGCATCCAACCACAACTGCCAGTGTTGCCAAAACACTTCTCTCTGAAATCCTAGGACAGCTTTGTTACAAAATTAAAAACAGTTGTAAGGACCCTTATTAAAATAGAAGGCAGTAATCTTCAATATATCTTGCTTCTGGTAATTATAAGAAACTGTGCTCTGAAAGAGAAACTGTAATTGCCAAGGGCATAATTTAACTTTGCATTCTTTTGGAATGGTGGGATTTTGTCACATGTTTTTCAGATTATTGTTTCATGACTACATTTAAAACCATATTAGTGTGTCCTTAGTTATACTTTTTAATATAGATTTGCAAAAATTTAAAGTTAACTTTGGGCCTGATCTTTTTCAGTGGAAATTCAGAATTAGCTCCAGTTTGGTGTCAGATACATATTAGCTGTCAGTTTAGACAATTTAAATGTAACTGGTAGACATTTAGTAAAATTTGGGCCTGCAGTCATCTTAGTTGCTTTTTGAAGCCAATGTAATATATTCAAAGTTGAACAGAATTTTGTTACAAAGTTTTGTTACTTGATGAGAAAAAGCACCTGTGTGCCTAAAATAGTAATTCTTGCTTTCTTTCTGGTAGTGTTGCTAGAAAGGGGAAAAATTGTTTTACCAGATGTGGGGGCTATAAAATTTATTTTCAAGGAACATGTTTTTAAAATAAAATAATAATTCTTGTTTTAAATTATTTGCTTTCTCTTTTTTCTATTGCTTTTGCCTTTCGTGATCGAAGTCTAGGAGAGTAAGTCAATGTTTTAATGAACTTTTGGGGACTTTTTTTTTTTTTTCTGATTTACTTATAACAAGTTAATCCATTTCACTTAGTTGTTTTACTAGACCAGGCCAAAAGTTATTTCAATTGACTTTATTCACTAAAACTCATGAATTATATACATATTTTTAATTGGATTTTAAAAAACTGTGATTTTTAGAATTTGTTTTTGTCCGTCTACATATGTGTATTTCTGTAAATATGCATGCTGTATTCTGTTGCTTTCTGCTTTCTTTGAGATTTTATTTTAGTCTTTTGCTCTTTGTTTGTAAGATTATACAATATTAAATATCTATTTTAAAAAGTCATTATTTTGAGATGCATATTTGCATCCATACTATATCACAAACACTTAACAAAGGCACTGGAGTAACTTGCCCAGGGAAGCTGTGGGTGCCCCCTCCCTGGGGGTATTCAAGGCCAAGTTGGATGAGGCTTGTGCATCCTGGACTAGTGGGAGGTGTCCCTGCCAAGGGCAATGGGGATGGACCTAGGTGATCTTTGAGGTCCTTTCCAACCCAAACCATTCTATGATTCTGTGAAGTAACTGAATTTTGAACATGCAGTCAGTTCAAGATCACATGTTGTAAAAGCAGGCTCTCCTATGGATGTAAAACATATATTAGGAGTTCTTTCTCTTTTAAAATATTTATTAATTTTGAAATTGCGGTAGAAAAGAGAAATAAAGTAAAATAGGTTTAAAGGTTGGGAAGACTTACTGTGCATGTTAGGAAATGTTAATGGTGTTTTTTTCCTTTTTTTAGGATTCACAGAGCAGGCAAGGAGGATATAGTATGCATCAGCTTCAGGGAAATAAGGAATATGGCAGTGAGAAGAAAGGTTATCTTTTAAAGAAGAGTGATGGGTATGTTCTTGGAGAACATAATACTCAATGAGAACTATTACTATGTTCGTGCACTGATTTTCATTGTTTTCTGTTATGGGTGCTTAAGCCACGTTCTCCTAATGCACATGCCACAAGTACTGCAGAATTCCACAGATCTGAATGTAGTATAGTAAATATAAAAAGCATGACAAGGAATCCTAAAAATCATCATATTAAAAAGCAAGCTATTGTTCTTCAATTTCTAAAAGGTGATTAAGAACTCTCATAAATTCCCAAGTTATTTTTGGTGAGGTATTTAGTAAAATTGGTGTTCTCAAAATGTTAATAGGATTAACGTGTTTTGAAATCATGTCTACTTATTGAATTTGTGGTTGTTGATGTTCCTTTATAGGTTAAGGAAAGTATGGCAAAGAAGAAAATGCACTGTTAAAAATGGAATTCTTACCATATCTCATGCAACGGTAAGTTATTTTTATAACTTTTTATTACAGCAACATTGTCCTTTCCCAGTCAATCTGTTGGTGTTAATCTAGTATTACAAAAAAGATGCCACTTACAGTTTTGACTGTTGAAGTTCCATGGATTATCAGAAGCTGGAGTCTGATTTATGGAAGTATTTTTATACTTGCTCTGTTAAAATTTTTCCTAGTTGTCTGCTGCTGACCACTAGTGGGAACAGTGCTCCAGGTTGCATGGAGCAGCACACCTGCTCTAACTATTCCTCTGAGATATGGGATGTGATTTATCTGAATGAACTGAAGTGTCTATAGTGTAGCTGTCTGCATCAGAGTAAGATCCTGTGGAGTTCTCTCTTAGTCACTGGAGAGCTGGTTAATGTAGTCAAAGGAATCTGGGTAGATTTGGTCAGATGTTTTGTTTTAAACTTAATTCTGGCTCTTGAATGACCTAGAAGACCAATAACTAGCATATGCATAGATGTGCCTATATTACAGATGTTTTATCCCTACGTAGGATGTTAACTATTTAAAACATTTTAATGCCTATGCGTTCATTTTGTAAAAGATAGAAAATCATATAACTAACCAGAGTGACAAAAGGTGAATAAAGCCTGGTTTGAAATTAATTTCAAAACTTACTGTATGAAGTAAGTAAACTGTTCTTCAGCCTTCTACAATTTTTCTTCACTTTTTTTCCCCCACTGCTGTGGCTTATGATAGCTGATTTAATACATAAATGTATCAATACTTTGGTAAGAAAATGGCAAATACATTGAACAGATTTCAATGAATATACCTCAACTGGGTCTTGTTCATAAGGATTGTCAGGGTATGTCTGGGAAGCACACAATTTGGAAACTTGAAATGATTGATTTTACATGTTATTGATAGTCTGAAAACACATTCACGTGGAGTTAATATGTTAATATTTTGAGAGCTTTCAACTAAAAATATGAAACTTTGGTAAGTTTTGATAATAGTAAGTTCTAGGAATCAGGCCTATGTCTGAGTTATCTTGAAAGGAGTGCTAAAATCTTAAGGAGGCAACAATTTGATCATGATAGAGGCAGTCCTAAAACTGTCTTGAGGCAGTATGACACAAACTTGTTGCAAACAAAAGTAATTCCTGTTGCTGTTGTTCAAGGACATGATCCCATTTCTAACATCAACTACCTATGGGATATGGGCATGCTGTAATGAAAAACTGCATAATAGTTTTACCATTGCTTATTAAATACAGTAAAAAACTTCAGTATTTGCAGATTCTAAATTAAGGTTTATTCCCTTAATCCCTTTAAAATAGTCAGGAAGAGTTGCCATGAAGTTCTTAATTTTGTTTAGATTTAGCAAGCTGTCTATTTTGACAGACCAAGTTAGACCAAGTCCAGCTGGTCTCAAGTGTTTTGAGGGTGTGCATGTTAGCATGCCCTTGTTTTCAATTAGTATCATACATGCACACTCCCCAGAAAGGAAAAATAATCCTAAATCAAGACATTTTTAAAATAAAATAAATTTTCTTTTTAGTCCAACAGGCAACCAGCTAAACTAAATTTATTGACCTGCCAGGTGAAGCCAAATGCTGAAGATAAGAAGTCATTTGACCTAATATCACGTATGTAGCAACTTTAGTCCCATCTTGCATTATGTCAGATTTCCAAAAAAATCACTACAAGATACTTTTTACAGTTGTAAATGGGAAGACTTTTGGCCTCATCATGTTATTCCTTTACTGTCAATTCTGCTTTTTGAGTGCTGTTTGGGGGACTGAGGAAGGCAAGGAGAACCCAGTTTCTCTTAATCCCCCTTTTACAGCATTGGTTGTCTAAAATGGATAGTGACTTGTCTCAGCATTAAGGCTCCTGTGATTTCCCTTCTTCCCATTTTGGTCTTTTGTAGCAGGGGTTTGTATCCAGTCTGACTTTAAAAACACTTCTTAAGTCAATGAGCCAACTGACTGGTTTTAGCTTTTACATGTATAATATTAAACAACAAGCAGTTCCAACACTCTATTTTTACAAGGACACCCTCTGAAGCCTTTGAATTTGAACAATAATACCCAATTCTTATCTCATCCTTTGGTTAGTAAAAACAAAAATCTTGACCTGAATGGAAGGAAAAATGTCTAATAGGAACAAATGAATTTTGCCCTTTTCTGCTGCTTATGTTTCAGATTTTAGTTCAGAAAGGCAAAATGTGATTCATATGCTTATTTTTCTTTAATATTTCTAACACAGGTCTTTTGAAATATATACATTTTATGTAAATAAAAATTCACAATTTCATCTTTCTCTGGGTTGTTTTGTTGTTGTTTGAGAATTGTTTTCCATAGCTATAAACAAAGTATTAATGTTCCTGGTTAAGAGCAATTGCTCTTAAAGGCCAAATGCGTTTTAGTAGCAAATATGTAGGTATTTTAAAATATATCATGTACCAAATGAAAAGATGTATTTATTTATTTCAGATAACAGAACATACCACTTTCAAGCAGAGGACGAACAGGAATATGTGGCGTAAGAATATTTACATTTTTTTCAAATTACTTTTACCATTAGAGGTGTATAAAATCACATGTAACAGTGGAAGTAGTTGTCTCAGTACAATGCCTGTCTTTTTCCTGTTGTTATGAATCTGTAACTGTCAACCATATTGTCACACTACAGGGCTCTTTAAAAACCTTGTAACATGAAAAAACAAAACAAAAAACAACCAAAAACCCATTTAGGTTGTGTACCCTGCCAGCACACATGGTCTGTGTGCAGTTTCTTGGCATGATATAGTAGATGAGCTTATTATGGTTCAGATAAAATATTTTTAAATTCTTAAATCTTCTGTGTCAACCCTCTTTTGCAGTTGTTTTTCTCATGATCCTTATTTTTCATTTAAGTTAAAAATAAGAAATGGAGAAAAGATCTCCAGAAAACAGAAAAATTACAGTTAATGCATCTTTTCTACTATAGGTCTAGAAATAAACAGCAAAGCAGATCTGAGGTTTGTGTGTTTCCAGAATCCAGTAACTTGCTTCATTAATGCATGTTTAAAACCAGATTATTTACTTTAAAACAGTCTTTCTTCCTGCTACATCAGAACTACTTCTTGTCCTGAGAACCATATACCACTTTTAGTCCTCCTGAGTGTTGCTTTCAGTGTCATTAGATGTGTGCTGTGCAGAATGTGGCAATCTAATGCTCAATACTTGGCAGTTCTAGGAATGAAGTTACTAGTGAAGAGAGCAGCAAGTCTGAGCCTTCCAGGCTACCTCATTCTTCAGGACTGTTGTGCTCTTTTGTTACATGTCCATGTTCTAGGGGAAGACTAATACTGCTCCATGTGTATTTTAAAGGTACAGGGAATATTTGTAGGGTGCTTCAGTTGCTTGGTAGTTCTGAGAGGCAATGGCATTGACAGCTCAACGTTGCAGGCATGAATGTAAAGGGAAGGCTGAAGAATTCTTTGTCATGCAGCTGTTTCCTTTCAGTTTTCCACAGCTTTATTTTGGCTCTTAATATGCAAAACTGACTTGCTAGTCATGCTTACTGCATTCATTCCGGAACTTAACCATTCCAGTAAGTTTCTTAGTGAAGAAAATACTGTTGTTGTTGATCAGTAGTGCACTTGATGAGTCAGGAGGTTTTTTGTCTCCACTATAAATTAGATTTTACTGTAATTCTTTGTTTAAAAGGTGGTTTATTTCTTTATCTTAACACATGAGCAAGGTATGGGGGGAGAATACATTAGTAAGTAATTTTTTCTGATTGGCAGGTCAATAACTAGTTTATCTGGTTGCCTGTTGGACTGTTTTGTAATTCCAGGCTGGTTTTACTTCCAGTTAAAACTGTAGTTGCCATCTGATGGCCACTGAAGTCTGATTAATCACTTTAAAGTCCAGTGGCTGAGAAAATGAGACTATTGTGCTGGAATATTTTTATGTTGTTTCAAGTTTTAAAATTTTCATTTAGCTAAAGAGACATTAGTGACATCCTAGTGCTGGAATACATTCAGACAAGCTAAGTGTGTTTTGCTAGTATTGGCACTGTAATCCACCAACAAAAAGGTATCTTAAGGCTACTGAGATGAGTATTCTGTTTCAGTAAATTACTTAAGTGACCCAAGTAAGGGTGTGATGAACACAGAAACTTGCTTTATATTTTCTTTAGGCAAATTTATACAATACCTTTAGTTAATTGAAGTTTATGAAGTTGTGTGACTGGTAATGTGTTGATGAAACCTACAATATAACCAAATGTTTTGTTTTTCTTGTGCAGCCACTAGTAGGTTCTAAATTGCTTTATTATCTAAGGCATCATGCAGACAGCACCCTTTGACTTCCAGCCTTGTTGATTTAAGAGGATTCTGCAGGACCTGTGATGTAGCTCCTAAATTAGCATTGTCATCATCTTGTTCCCATTTCCACTTGACTTGTATATGTTTCCTCCTCTTGTCCTTTTCTTCTCTGTCTTCTTGCATTTTTTTCCACCCAGTTTTATTGCTGCCTCTCTTTTTTCCTTCATGCACCAATTGATTATTAAATGCATAAACATACTTTCCAATCACTTTCCATCCAGCCTTGCACCTAAATAGAGAAAAAAGCAAAATGCATTTCTTTATACTCTAGCTGACCTTGCCTACATTGTCCTAGTGATTGTTTTAAACTGCTTCCATAAATAACTCTTCAAGCTACTTAAAAAGAACATGAATAAAGTAGACAGTTTAAAATACAAATCACTGAAGCCTGCATTGTGTTACTGGTCTATTACTGCTTCCTCTCAAATATTTCCCTTAGTCCAGTGCATTTCTTGATTCCTACCCAGCCAGCTCTGTTGACATTTAATTACTGCTTGAATATCCTTCAGAGTTCTCATTGAATTATTAATTTCTCTGGTAGATAAAATACAGTGCAGTGGGAGAAACTTTGTGAGTAGATATGTGTAACATCATGTCTGAAAAATAACCAGATGAGGTTTTTGTAACATACACAGTAATAGTCTCTTTCTACTTTTTGATAATTGTTGATAAAGCCAAACGTATTATGGTTATGACCTTTTGGTTGTTTTCTATCCTCTTTTTGAAGGTCAAGAATATATCCATTTCTGTAGGAGAAGCCTAGATAGTAAACAAATTCAGAAAACTTGCTGTGAAGAAACACTCTGACTTCAGTCTAGTGTTTAGCAACAGTCTTCAGACATTTTCTTCTTCAGGAAGACTGAGTTGGAAGGTCTTGATACTGTCTGTTGCTTCTTTCACAGTAAGGTTGTTTAGCTGTTTGTGAAAGTTTGAAAGTTCCTAGGCTAGTGTTCTGGTTTTGCATTTATCTGGAAACATTGATGTTGAAATAGGGATTCACAGACTAGACAGAGATATATTTAAATTGAAAATAAATACCTTTTAAAAAAAGTCTGGTTATTCTGGGAGGGCTTTATTTGGCTTAGAAATACTGAAGAGAAATAAGGAGAATGTGAGAGTCCAGTCCACCTGAGGTTAACAAATACTTCTGTTGCCTTCATTGGATTCAGAAGTTCCTCGTGATGCCAGATTTTTGTTTATCCTCATTCAAATGTTTTATCTTCAAAGCTGGGAATCTCCAGCAAGCAAAATGCCATAAAGGACCATGTGAAACTGTTGAGACTGAGAAGCAGAAGGTTTAACAACCTGTCTTACTGTACTACATTAGTTCTGTGAGACTTGAGTAATTTTTAAATACTTTTAAGGCTACTACAGAGTATTGACAGAAGCTTTTTGACTGTTGTCTTGATGCAGATGAAATAAAGCAAATATATTGGGGGGAGGGGGGAAAGGAAAAGGAAAGAAAAAAAAAGGGGCTGGTGATAAAGAAAAAAAGAGGAAGAGCAGCAGTCCTAAGACAGGTTTTATAAACTGTTGACATTGAGTTAATATACAATATTTACTGATTTGACTTGCTTATTTTTGAGTGTACCACCTGCCAGGAAGGCCTGGGGACCAACTCAAGACTGATATGATGACATTAGTCATTAAGAAAGTGTCTGTTACAGGATTTTTGTTAAATGGGCCTTGCTGCTGTTGTCTAGGGAGAGCTGACTCGGTGATGGCTCTTGCTGTGTCTCACAGATGACACCAATGACATGGCAGCCTTGGCCAGTGTGTTCCTCTAGCTGAGGAAATGCAACCAAAATAAATTACTGCTCTTACAGTTTAGAAACTCTTAATATGGAAATCTGTATCAAACTAACAGCTGGCTCAGTCATGTCCTGTTTATTTTAATTGTATCTAATAATTCTTTAATTGTTACTGCATAGTTGAGTTTAATTCAAATTCTGCATTTTTAACAAACTAATCGAATTTTAACCCTGAAACAAATTGTCAGAAAATGTCAGAATAAATGTTGCCTGTCTTGAGTCAAGTGATTATTTTACTTGGGGCTTAGCACAACATTATTATAAAATTTGAAAGGGGACACTTTTTTCCATAACGTTTGATTCAATCAGAAAAATTGCAGAAGAGTGCCATCTAGTGTGGGTTCCTGCATCACATAGCTAGAGAGATGCATTCATGTAAATGTATTTGTTTTCAGTATGTCAAATATGGAGAAAATTTGGTTTTGAATCTTTCTGTTTCTCTTCTACTATTTAGGTTGATTTTTCAATTTTTTTCAAGCATTTTCTTTTAAGTGCAAGTTAGGCACTTAAAAGTCTGCCCATATACATGAAAAAAGAAAAAAATGTTATATGCCATGCCCATATACCAGTTCCAGCTCTGAATCTGTATTGCAAGATTATATGACAGTTTCCCTCTGAAATGCTTTGAAACTTATATCTTTGCATTATTTCAGTGGGAAATTACGAGTTTCAATCTGAAGTTCTATTAGTTTGTTTAGATGACTGTAGCCATTTTAAACACTTTTCAGAAGATTGGTAGTTGCAGCTAATTGTGATATTGTAAACAGCATATAAATTGAGGTTACTGCCAATTTAAAATTTGTCTCTGTAGAAAAAGGTGTATTTGAAGAAAATCTAAAAATATCTAAAATCACTATATCTGGGAGAATTTTTTTAACCTTGCTCTGTTTCTAAATTGGGCAACATTGCCTCTGCAGTGTGCTTGTTACTATAACTGCTTTCCCCTCTTTACTTCCACTTGGAGGGCAGCAGCCCCTGAGAGGTTTTTTTTGTTAGATTTTTGATTAAACATTGTCCAAACAAAAACTTGCAGAGTGGTTGGGGAGATGGGGAACTAGTGCCTAAAATATCATTGAAGGGTCTTAATTTGATGCAGTCAACAGTTGCTCTTAACATTTTGTGTTGGCTATCAATATTATTACTCTCCTGTCATCTTCTCTTCCTCACCCTGTTTGTTACCATGGTAATTTTCATCAATTTGCACATTGCAGTCTGAAGCTGGTTAGTGCATTGAGACCTGCATTTTGAAAGGCAACTGGACATCAATACAGTAAAAAAAAGTGTTTGCTGTCTCCTCTATGAAGAGAGTTCTGCACACAGGAGAAAGCAGTGGTTATAAATTTCTCCTTTAAGAGTGGGATAGACGTCAGGAACATCTTAGGCACCTACTTTTAAAGCAGTTAAATTTACATGAGCTTAATTGCACCCTTTCTCTTTCACAGCTTCTGCTTATTTGAGGAAATCGAGAACTGTGCTGCTTTGACTTTAAAATGGTTCGCTAAAGAGACATTAAAATTAAGACATTGTCTTTTCTCATTCTTACTTACCTCTTACCTTTTCTCGATTCTTTCCTTTCTGTCTTTCATTTTCTCCCTACTTGCTCTATCCCAGGATGCAGTTCTTCCCTATATTCCCACTAATATTTTGTTCCTGGTGAGCTTTCTACAGTTTATAGATTAATTTGTGTTTGCAAATGCAGATCTTCATTAAGGTCTTTATCTTGTGCTAGATGGATATCAGTATTGACTAACAGCAAAGAAGAAGCATTAAATATGGCATTCCGTGGAGAGCAGAGCACAGGGGAAAACAGTTTAGAGGATCTGACAAAAGCCATTATTGATGACATACAGAGATTACCCGGAAATGAAGTCTGTTGTGATTGTGGCTCACCAGGTAATCTCAATTTGCTAATGTCATCAACTTCTTGTTGGGAGCAAAGTAATTTCTTTAAAGAAGTGTTTGTAGAGCTCAAACTAATTTTCTAAGTGATTTGTTGATCAGTCTTCCACCTGTTTTTAAAAGAACAAATATGACTTTCATACATTAGTTCCGTTTAATTCACTAAAATATTTTTGTGTGTTGTCTGTGCTTACTTCCAGCAGTTCAAGCCCCTCTGGAGTTTGAACTGTTCTTGTTGCACTGTCTCTAGATGCTTGTTGCACTTGAATGGAAGTTGCTTGGCATCACTGATCCTGTGCATGCTACTAAGTAGAAGTGAGTAATGCTTAGACACTGACTGTGGAAAAGTTGACCTGGCCAGGATCTTACTCTGAGGTTTTACCTTGACACGAGACTACTGGAATTGCAGTATCCAAAATACTCAGAGGCAGAATAAGTAGTCTTGTGCAAAAAATGAGACCTAGAGTTGGAATCCTATCAGATGGTATCTTCAGAGGTACAAAGTTACAGGTCATTTGTATGTCACTTAGATCTGGGGAAGAGTCAACTTGTCCTAGAACTGCTGACTCGATGTGGTAGTTGACAGCTGTTACAGCTTTCAGATCTAAAGAGACACTTAAAGAAGGAGATACTAATTTGGAACTGACTAGATAGTGGGTATCTTGAAGATACTTGCTGATGCAGAACTGATGCAAAGAAATACCTAGATAAAAATGCAAAGTGGAATATAATGATAGCAAATCCTGGTATTGGTTCATTCAGTTATTTCCCATCATGTAAAGCTGCAGAAGCTTCAGATTGCAGTTTTCATTCATCTTTTAATTTATAGTGAAGTTCTAAGCTTCACTCCTGCACCTCAGCTTGCTGCTATAAAACAATTGATATAATGCTTTTTTGCTTACTATTTAAGATAAAGGAAGAGATTAATTTAAAGACATGTATGTATACAAAATGTGGCTGGAATCTTTTATTTTCCTTAAAAATTGGTCTTGCTTCTTATGTAACATTTATAGTATCAGATATTGAATATTACATGCAAATCTCCTCCATGACAGCAGTTTTCATTTTTTTGCTGGACTAGCCACTGTTTCTTAAAGTTTCTACAACGTATCACAATTTTACATATTGGAAAATACTATGGAGTCTTTTTTGATGAAAGACTATTTAAAGTTTAAGAAGTAATCATTAAAACTTCAGAAGTTGGCAACAGTGGAATTTAGGAGATCTGTCCCTTTTAAAAACAGGAAACAAAGAAACTTACCTTCTTTCTATGAGAAACAAATCCTAAATGTATTCAAATATGGTCATTCAATGTCGATTTGTAAGTCTAAATTCAGTGCATTTGGGACTTCCCCTAAATCTGAAAAACTTCATTCTGTTGGTGTCAATTTGTGGTTAAATTTGTGCTGCAGTTTGGGAAAAAAATATGGAATATTCTTAATTTATTTTAATTTGTTAAAACACTAAATGAGGAATCTTTTCAGAATACATTGGGATTTCTTACCACCATTGAAAACTTTTCTTGGAATCTTATTAAATGTTTTGTTTTTCAATTCTACAGATCCAACGTGGCTGTCAACTAATTTGGGCATTTTAACCTGCATTGAGTGTTCTGGAATACACAGAGAAATGGGTGTCCATATTTCTCGAATACAGTCTTTGGAATTAGACAAATTAGGAACATCTGAACTCTTGGTAAGTTTATTTAATTTGGAACATTGTTTTTTTTTTTAGTCTAATGGTGACCAATATATAGGAAACATGTAGGTGTCTAATTTATGGTTATTTTTTTTCAGGATAGAGGTTTTTGCAGAATGTATTCTTCATATTTTTGTGTGTGTCTTACAGGAGGATTTTTTTGTTATGTGTGTTATTGATGCTTTTGGCCACTTGTCACTTCCTATGTTAATTTCCTGAGGTTTTCCAGAATAAATATTGACATCTGTTGTGACTAGTGCCATCCAAATGCTGCCTGTTATTAGCTGATCTGGACCCTAAATCAGGACAGTCTACAATCTCATGTGATGAAAAAAAATGAAAGCTAATTTAACTTGACAAGTGACAATTTCCATTGCTAATTTTGACATTAAAATGTTGGAAGACTCTTTTAATGTGATGGAAAAAACCCTGTAATATTAAGGTTGTGAAAATAAGTTTATATAAGACTACTGAAAAAAAGGGAAGAAAAAAAAAATTACAAATAGACCAAAAAAAAGCCAGGTTTATCTCCCCTGCTATGTTTGCCCTGGAAGAAGACACTTCTTATAGCAATTTTGTACAGGGAAACTGAGGGAACATAGACAACAGTTCTGGATTTGTGTATAGTTTTTAACTTTAGCACTAGCACTTTTCTTGAAATCATGAGTTGTGTGCAAAGTTACTGTTAATTTAAGTAAAATTTTACTGTGAATGACTTTCCGGTAGGTCTGAGTTTTTTCCCTGAGTAGCTCCCTCATCAGTGTACTAGCCCCGTTTCAATGTCCGTGCTGCTCATTCCTCATTCTGGTTTTATATTGGAAGCAGATTGTCTTGCAATACAAATAATTAGCTGTGACTATGAAGTCTGTTGTACAAGTTCTAGGTTGACAGGGTTCACACTTGAAAATAGTTTTAAATTGCTTTATATTTAAATGCATTCATCATGCTTTAGTTTTGCAATCCTGTGTGTTCTATCTTTTATAAATAGTGTGGAAAATGCATATTAATACTTCAGTTTTTAGGTTGCTGCTAAACCCAAAAAAACCCCATCCTCATGTATTTTTTCTCTTATTGCAGCTGGCCAAGAATGTAGGAAATACTAGTTTTAATGATATTATGGAAGGGAATTTACCTAGTCCTTCACCAAAACCCAGTCCATCAAGTGATATGTAAGTTTTGAATCCCTAAATTCTTCAAGTTTACTGTGGAATATATGTCTGATGTGAAATGTCTTGAACAGTAACCAAGCTAGGGGGAGGGGGGAGCTTGTGTGGCAGAAGATGGAGGGTTTTATTCCAGCTGTGGAGTTCCTTAGAAGTCCAGTCTCTTGTCATAAAGTCACATTTAGGTACCTCAGCTGTTCAGTGTTGAAAACTTTGTTTGTTTCAAGATTCATTACTTTGAATCTTGATGTTGAGTTCTGAAGTGCACCTTCAAGTGATAAACACAACTGGATTGAATGATGCTAGAGGCAGGTGCTGTCTTGAGATGGCAACAAGCATTTTCTTCCTTTGCCTTGTGTAGAACTTGCACAGAGAGCATAACAGATCTGAATATACCAGAGAACACCTTTTAACCCATTGTGCTGTTTCCTAGCTGACTTTGTATTTTATTTTTATCATTTTTAGCATGATGTTCATGCTTATAATATTTTTGACAGGTATGTTTCCATGAGAAAGTGCATTTCAGGCTTTGTGTTTTCTTTGGTCTTAGTCCCCAGAGTCAGAGTAATTTTCATATGTAACAAGAAATCGGGAATAAAATTGTCTACGTACCTTACTTTGGGCTTGTTTATCAAGACAGACATGCATTACAATAACTAACACAGTTTTATCCTGATAGTTTTCCTGTTCCCTTACCAGCTCCTGAGTGAGACAAGGTGATTTGAAATTTAAATCATTGACCTGTTTTTATAAAACTTTCTAAAACAAGCTCTATTTTCATACCCCACAGGACTGCACGTAAAGAATTTATCACTGCTAAATATGTAGATCATAAGTTCTCTAGGAAGACCTGTGCATCTGCAGCAGCTAAACTGAATGAATTACTTGAGGCTGTCAAATCCAGGGATTTACTTGCACTAATTCAAGTCTATGCAGAGGGGGTAGAGCTAATGGAGCCACTGTTAGAGCCTGGACAGGTAAGCTTATCAGGTAAACAAAGCAGGGTATTTTAAATAATGTGTGTTTGTAAAATGTCTAGGGCTCAGGGCTGCTACCTTAGATACCCAACAAGAGACATGACATGAAAATGGTGGGGTTTTTCTTCCTTCCCTTAATGTGGCATCCCTGTGGTGAGGGAAGACTCTTATCATCAATTGGTCTGAAGGAGTATAAAATGTAATAGTAATACCTTACACTGCTCTATAGTATGTTGAAAAGCACCTGTTCTGCAGTGTGTTTATTTTAGGAAAAGGCCCAAAGAGAGCAGGCTTGACATGTTAACCCAAGGTCACCTGATATCACGGACAGTATTGTATCTACTTTTAAAGTAGTTGCTGAAGGAACACATTCCTGACTGTATACAAGTCTGTTTATATGAGGAAAGAGCAAATCTGATGCCTTCACAACTTCTGATGAAGCATTTACAGAAGTACAATTTCCTTTAATCAGGAAGAGAGATTTAATTTTTTTTTAAATAAAGTTCTGAATACCTGATCTTTTTCTGAAGTCAGTAACAGTTTTTTTGAAAAATCAATCTAAGTTGACCTCAATTATCCATGTAGAAATGTTGCTCAAAAGCAACATATATTTTTTAATAGATAATTGATGCTGTATAATCACTTGGTCAGCAATGTTTTCTCCTATTATTTTTTAAACCAAGTTGGAGTGATCTTGGAGAATGTTTTCAAGAAATTCTGTGAAAATGGTTAACTTGGCAAAGTACAGACAGCTTGTCTGTGTTGAGTGGAGGGAATAAATTCACTGCAGTCTTAGCATTTGAGATGTCACAGACTGCTTATAATGGAAACACATTGCAAAGTCTCTAACTACGAGGTAAACTTTCTGTATTTGTCATCCATAGCAGTTACTACATAATTAGCTCCCTAGTATTTCTCAGCTATTACAGTCAGTCATACCTAGAAAGGTATGAACACCAATTGAGTAAGGTAAGACATTTATTTTCTGTAAATTCTTTGATGTTTAGTAAAGTCATACTTTATTAAAAGTTGTGACTTTAATTCTGGAGTGATCTTGGAGAATGTTTTCAAGAAATTCTGTGAAAATGGTTAACTTGGCAAAGTACAGACAGCTTGTCTGTGTTGAGTGGAGGGAATAAATTCACTGCAGTCTTAGCATTTGAGATGTCACAGACTGCTTATAATGGAAACACATTGCAAAGTCTCTAACTACGAGGTAAACTTTCTGTATTTGTCATCCATAGCAGTTACTACATAATTAGCTCCCTAGTATTTCTCAGCTATTACAGTCAGTCATACCTAGAAAGGTATGAACACCAATTGAGTAAGGTAAGACATTTATTTTCTGTAAATTCTTTGATGTTTAGTAAAGTCATACTTTATTAAAAGTTGTGACTTTAATTCTAAATATATTTACTGTAATATGCTTTTTTTTTTTTTTACAGCCCTTTATGATGAGTAGGAATTAATGCAATCTGGTTTTAGATTAAGGTCTCATGCAACTTTTAAAGTGAATTAAACAGCATTTGTATTTTTATTTAAATGCATTAATGCTTATGTTTATGTATAAAAAATAAAGTATGGTTCAGCTTAAGTTCAAAAAGGTGAAAGCCTGTATTTGGGAGGAACAATCCCATGCCCTGGTTCCCAGCTGGAAAGCAGCTTTGCACAAAAAGGCCAAGCAGAGAAAGGTCATGGTGCACATGAAGTTGAAGATGAGCCAGCAGTGTGCCCTGTGGCAAAGAAGGATAATGGTATCCCAGGCTGCACTAGACAAAGGATTGTCAGCAGGTTAAGAGAAGTGATCCTTCCCCTCTGCTGAGCATGGGTGAGACCACAGCTGGAGTGCTGTGTCCAGTTCTGGGCTCTGCAGTACAAGAGGGACTTGGACATGCGGGAGAAAGGGCAGCAAAGGGCCACAAAGATGTTGAATGGTCTGGAACTCGTGACGCATGAGGAATTCTGTGAGACTGTTCAGTCTGAAAACAGAGGGGGAACTTAGCAATGTGTATAAATACCTAAAGGGAGGGTGCAAAGACAAAGCCAGACTCTTTTCAGAGGTGCCTACTGACAGGACCAGAGGTGATAGGTACAGAAGATTCCCTCTGGACATCAGGAAATGTGTTTTAGTGTGAGGGTGACAGAGCTACTGGCACAGGTTGTCAAGGAAAGTTGTGGAGTCTTCATCTCTGGAAATATTAAAAAGCTGTCTGGACATGGTCTTGGGCAACCAGCTCTAGGTGGCCCTGCTTTGGGTGAGGGGTGTTGGACCTGGTGACCTTCACAGGTTCTTTCCAACTTCAGCCATTCTGTGAGATTGACTGTATGCAAGATTATTATTTTTGTGAATTTTTTTCCTCTGGTTTTGTAGGAAATAATGTTGTGGCTATGCATGGTGCTCACCAGAGTGTCATAAAGCAACAAATACTCTAAACTCGCTTAGTGTTAACACTAACAGGATGCCTTTTAGTTCCTAGTTGCCAAAGTGGCTCATGGCTGCTCACAATTGTTGGATCAGTTCATCTGGAGAAAAAGGAAAGACTGATTCCAAGAGAGCTATGATCTCAGGAAGTGTGATGCCATTTCCTTTGAAAGCATATGGTATCTATCTGAGACCAGAAAGGCAATAACTGTTTGCATCCTAATTTCTTAATAATATTTTTTCTGTTGAAAGACGTGTTGTAAAAGAGTGAGTGACAAATCTATGTATATCTGATGCTATAAGCTTTGCAGAAATAAGATACAAAAATCTGATTTCTTCTTACATGTGTTTAGGAGCCAGGTGAAACAGCACTTCATTTAGCAGTCCGGACTGCTGACCAAACCTCTCTCCATCTGGTTGACTTCCTTGTACAAAACTGGTATGGGTTGCTCATTTTCATTAAATTGTGCGTGAAAAATGTAGACGGTCAAAGCTGTCATTGCAGTACTTGGGACAGGGTTCGATTTATCACTTATAATTGTTCTCCTTAGGTAAGTTTCAAAAGAGCAAAGTGTAATACTTTTGAGTTGACCTGTGTGCTCCTAATGTGTAGATAGAGGGAAAGAAGTGTAGATTAAAAAAGCAGTTTAGAAAGAAGTTATATAGAAACAGGGTGAAAGGAAAAACTACGTAAAGCAAAAGAGAACATTGAACACAAGACAAAATGAAACAATGCAAGCAAACAGTTCAGGTAAAGAACAGATGACAAGTAAAAGTTCCAAAGAACATACAGAGAAATTCTAGGGTATAAAACAAGGATCTCTCTCAGAAAATTATGAATAGAAGCTGGATTGACTTTGAAAAAGTGATCTAATAGTTAATAAACTGAAGAGCATAATGGTTTTGGCTAGTAATTTTCAACATCTAGTTTATTGGCTGAGCTATTCTTTGTTGTCAAGAGATGTGTTCATTGAAGTGAAAAACCTCATTGAAAACCTTTTCCTAAAGGGTGTAATGGTACAAGATTTTTTTTAATGTATTCCACAATGTAGGTAATGATGAAATGAGATCAAGCCCAGCCCACCTGTATAGCATGCTGTTAAGTGCAGGCAGCAGCAGTCACTTGCTGTGTCAGATGGTTGTTTTTGCAGAGCAATGAGAGAGGAGGCCTGGGGAAACACACAGGACTCAATACAACTTGCTTGAGCTGGCCAGAGGAAGGCTTGAAGATGTTTTTTGGTGTTTGTTTTCCCTCAGCATAGTGAGTCATACCTGCTATTGATATGCAGTCAGTGAATACTTTTTTTCTTTTCCTTCCTCCCTTAACTAGTTTGTGTAGTGTTGTGTGTATGGAGTGTTAGAGAGGAAGTTTGGTCTTCAGGTAACACAGACTTGGAGTCCCTATTTCTGACACTGTCTTGTGGGCTATGCAGATTAGCTGTGTAACCTCCACTTAACCTTTATTCTACCACTACTCCCTCATGTTAAATGGAGTGCTGACTGTTGTAGGAGTGTCATTCAAGTAAAAAATAAAACTAATTAAAAATAAGCTAGTACTTTTAGCAAGTTGTTCGAGATCATAATTTTAAAAATGTCATAAGAAGTTCAAATTATTACTTTGAGCATTATTAAGGGGTTTGTTACTTTGGATGGTTATGTAAAATTATTTTGTTTAGTTATGAAGCTTCATCGTTTCTTCAGACAACTATAATCTTTTACATGTTTCTGTCAGCTGTCTGTATTTCTATGTTGGTCTAAAATTTAAGAGCGTCTTTATAAACATATGGGCTCTGCACTTACTGCTTAATATGGGTATGACTGAATAGAAGAAAAGCTGTCATCTTCTGAGGTTTTCTTTTCAGTTTTATAAATGTATTATATCAATCCAAATATGTTAGTAACTTTTTTTAGAAACCTTGCTTTTGAAATTCAAAACTGAATGA